CMSSGGGGGGCACCGTGAGGCCTCCCGGGCCGCGGGAAGGGGCCCCCATCGCGCTCACTGTCCTGCTGCTTCCCCCTGCGCAGCTACCGGGTGCTGGCGCTGAGGAACCACCCGCTGAAGTGCAAGGAGCCCTGGGCGCCCGAGCGCTTCAGGCAGCTCGCCGAGGCCTACGACGTGCTCAGCGACCGTAAGCGGCCGCCCCGGGACAGCCAGGGTTGGGTGGACCCCCCCCGGCGATGACACCGGTGTCTCCCTGTCCCCCAAGCCCGCAAGAAGGGCGTCTATGACAAGTTCGGCGAGGAGGGCCTCAAAGGCGGCGTCCCGCTGGAGTTCGGCACCGAGAACTCCTGGAGCGACGGCTACGTCTTTCACAACAACCCCTACAAGGTCTTCAAGGATTTCTTTGGGGGCGACAACCCCTTCGCGGGTACGTGGGGGCCCCGAGTTGGGCACGGAGCCCRTGTCGGCTCCTGCTGTCCTCATGGTCTCTGGAGCCGCTGGGATGCGGCCGCTGCTGGATCCAGACTCGGGCTGCACCGAGGCCCGACGTGCTCCCGTGTCCTGGGCAAACGCTGCTCCCAGGAGCTCCCGAACCGGCTGCAAAGGGGTTTTACTTTAGAGGAGCAGCAGAGGCTGGTGGGTTTGTGCCCTGCTCCTTTGAGGCAGGTTTAGGCCCCGATTTACAGTTTGATCCTGGGTGTGTTGGTGCCTTTGGGCCCCAATTCCTCCCCAGGGCTGAGGGCACCCAGTAGGGCTCAGCGGTGACCTCGGGACTTCGCCAAGAACGAGGTCCCTGGGGTGCCCCTGGCTTCCCCCCATTCCCGCTTCCAGAGTTCTTCACCAAGGATGGCTCGGAGCCCAACATGGCCTTCGGGGGGCTGCGCGGGAGGGGCGCGAGGAAGCAGGACCCCCCCATTGAGCGGGAGCTCTACCTGGCGCTCGAGGACCTGTTCTACGGCTGCACCAAGAAGATCAAGATCTCGCGGCGGGTAGGGGGCCACCCCACACCGGCCAGGGGGCTGCGATCACCCCTTCCCCTTCCCACCACCTGCTCCTGGTGGCTCCTTCTCGCTTGGACCCCCCTCCCCGGACCTCCTGCCCACCCCCACGTTCAACCTGCCCCCCAGGTGATGAATGAGGATGGCCAGAGCACCTCGATCCGGGACAAGATCCTGACCATCGACGTGCAGCCGGGCTGGAAGCAGGGCACCCGCATCACCTTCGAGAAGGAGGGAGACCAGGTAAGGCCAAGGCGGGGGTGTGTGTGGGGGGGTCCTCTAATATCCTCTCCTTCTACCGCCCCATTTCCAAGTATCCTTTTTCCATGTTCTTTTTCCCTTTTAGGGTCCAAACATCATCCCAGCCGACATCACCTTCGTGGTGCAYGAGAAGCCGCACCCCCGCTTCAAGAGAGCGGGCGACGACCTCATCTACGTGGCCACCATCCCCCTGGTCAAGGTAGAGCCGGTGTCCTTGTCACCTTGACCGCACGGGAGGCTCCTCGCGCGGCGCCGGGGCCAACGGCGGCTCCCGCAGGCCCTCGTGGGCTGCGCCGTGGCCGTGCGGACGCTGGACGGGCGGCTGCTCAACATCCCCGTCAACGACGTGGTGCAGTAAGTGACGTGGGGGGGGCTCAAAGTGGGGGTGCGTGGGGGCCCCCCCATGCCGCTCAGCACCAACCCTGGCCCCACAGCCCCGCGTACTGCAAGGTGGTGCCCACCGAGGGGATGCCGCTGCCGCAGGCGCCCGCGCGCCGGGGCGACCTCGTCATCCGCTTCGACGTCGTCTTTCCCAAGCAGCTCACGCCCCACAAGAAGAAGCTCTTGAAAATGGCCCTGCTGGGCTAGGGCAGGGAGAGGATGCCCCTGCTCCGCCCCAGGCAATAAAGTTTGTTATCCCGGGGCTTTTTCCAGCTTTCTGGCATCCTCTGCCCCTACACAGGGGCCGCATGGGCGCCCTGGCATGGGTGCCTTGGGAGGTGACATCCGTGCCAGGCGTTCAGGGGCTCCGTGGCAGCTGCTGCGTCCTGAGGTGCTCGGGGCCAGCAGCACCAGGACATCCAATGCCAGGGGTGTCACCGATCCCACAGCACCAACCTGCCYGAGGAGCGGGGCACAGGATGTGCTCCGGCCCTGCTCCCGGTTATCCCGGCCCACAAGAAGCCGCAACCACCCCCAGAGAGGCTTTGGGAAATGCTGGTGCCACCCGGGACAAGGGATGATAAAACCAGTCTGGTTTTATTGAAACACAGCGCTCGTACAAAAATAACTTAGCGGGGTTSATTTTGCTTGTCAAAAATGTACAAAAATAATTTATAGGACAAAAGTGCGTATTTCGGGTACAGCTTCGGAAACACCCCAAATTGGGGCATCTTCCCCAGCTTATTAAAAAGGACKTTAGGGAAATTCCACCCAAATATATCCCCCAAAATCCATCCTCCTCTCACCTCTGGAGGTGGGAAAGCAGCCCGCTGAGCGGCGCCTGCCTGGCGGGCCGTGCGGCTCCCCCGGAGCAGATCCCTTGGTCAAACACTGGGATTTCACTCCCTTTAAATGCACCGGGAAGGCCTGTTTATAAAACACGTGGGAGGGTGGATCCCGCTGCTCTGGGCTCAGCTCTGGCGGATCCAGCATTGGGCGCCCAGGGACCTACTCCTTGGAGAGCCGAGCGGAGAAGATCCGGGCGATCCTTTCGGTTTCCTCCTCCGAGAGTGCAGCCGAGGCCAGAGGCGGCCTGGGACGGGTCAGGCTCCGGTAGGGAATTCCCTCCAGCGCGGCCCCGCTCTATGGAAAGAGAGAAAAACCTTTAAATTTATTATTATTATAAACATTTATATTGTTATTACCCCGGGGTTATATCCCATGTGATTTTAATGCCATCCACATTAAAATAGAGGGAGGCTCCAGCCTTCCGCAGCCTTCCAGGCACCAGGAAGGTTCAGCCCCTGAAGGTCCCGATTTATTGGGATTTTATAAATCTGGGCAATGCAGGAAGGAAATGGAGGATTCGGCTTCCACGTGGCCAGGAGCGGAGCYGGAGCAGCATTAAAGGAGCCCCCGTTACCTCTCCACTATGTTACAAAAACAGTTTCTACTGGACGCAGAGGCTAAATCTATGTGAACTAAGAACCCAAACTGCATTTCTTATACATAAAGTTGGTTCCAACGCAAGTTCCTTCCTAAAAGGGATTTTTTGCCCRGAAAACTCAGCACCAGCAGTGTCTAAAAGCCCATGAACTCCCTCATGTGGAAGAGGAGAAGGGAGGAAGGGAAAATGAGAAGCTGCAAGCAGCGTTGCGCTTGGGGCCTGATGCTGCAGCCCACGGACACCCCTGCAAGGAAGGACCCGTGGATAAGCCTGGAATTGAGGTCAGTTTAGGTCAGTCCTGTCCAAATCTTGCCCTATGTTCAAGTATCTCCCAAGATTCTTCTCAGGGGATCTGTAACCAGCATCTAGAGCGCATGGCTGACAGTGACACCCCTGCGGACCAGGGAACCATGGAGAAACCTCCAAGGATTCACAGCAAAGTAATTTCTATGGGGATTTGCAAAGCAACCGGGCATTCTCCCCRCTCTGGAAACATGTCCACGGGTTGCAGGTGGTCCCCATCACTCCAGAGCTGTTAGATCCTGCCTGTTTTTGTCCTCAGCAGCCTGTTCCCAATGCCCCAAGTGGTCCCAGGGGAGCTCRGTCAGAGCTGGGACCCCAACACGGCACCTCCACAGGGAGCAGGAGCAAAGAGCCCGAACGCCCCTCGGAACGAGCGAAGGAGGCTCCTTTGGTAATAATCTCCACACCCTTGCAGTAAACAAGGGCTTTGGCACGTAAAAAACACCTATAGATGCACAAAAGCACCTGAGAGCCTTCCTATAGAGCCCCAAGGGGTTATATTCTCCAAACAGATTCTCCAAATACTCAGCTAGGGCCTCCGGTCCCCGGCAGGACTATTTGGCTTCCCAGGAGGACAGACCCTCAGCTACAAACTCCTTCGCTCCAACCTGATGCAGGAGGCAGGAATTGGGAAAGATTTCCAGCCTGCGTGTTCAGAATTGGGCCCCGCTCACCTGCAGGGCGCAGGAAGGGCCGGAGGAGAGGCTGAGCACTCGCATGGAGGCCTCCAGCTGCTGYGGCGGCAGGAAGAAGTTGGGAAGGGCAGCGGGAGCGGAGCTGAGCGGAGCCGAGTCAAGGAGCAGCCCTGGGCAGGGGCCTCCCGGGACCTCACGCGTTTTCCTCAATATTTGACCATTTTGTACCCGCGGTTCCTCTGCCTGAGGTGACCCTGGGTTCCCTTATTTGTTGGGTGCTTCGTCCTGCAAAACTGCCCACCCAGCTCCATGAAATTCCCTGTGGATTTGGGATCCATGCAAACAATGASGGGATGTATTTTAAATGCTGAGAGAATTGTATTTTAATGAGGAGGAAACCTGGGAACTTCAGCGGTGCTGCCAATAGGGAGGAAAAATAAATAAATGCAGGAGAAGGTGTTGAAATGACCCGGAATGATTGTCCCACCAGACAGGGAATACTGGCTGTTAATGCAGGGGAGCTCAGCACTGCTATGGGGCTGAATTCCGAATCCATGTTGCAGGGAAGAGCTCCACACGGTGGAGTTCTCCTTCCTGAGGGCCCTGAGGCTCTAACCAAGGCCGTCTCCTTAAGGGCAATGTATGTTTAGGAAAAAGAGAAGGATACAGAACAAGCTTTGACTTCCCGGATTTTCCCAACTCTTCCACTGGGTCTTCATGGCTCTCATCGGAGAAACTTCCGCTGCTCCCTTCAGAGGCCGCCTSGGTGGACACAAACCTCCCATGTCCTCCAGGAAAACCTCCCTCCTCCTTGCCTGAATCCGCATCCGAATCCTCACTGGTTTCCTCCTGGCTCTGCGCAGTGGTTGAATTGGTCAAGACACCGTCTCCCGGAAAGCCCAGGACCTCTTTGAGGAACGACGTTCTTTGATGAAATTCTTCACTTGGCTCCATTTCCTTCGTTTCGGCCGCTCCGTCCCAGTCACGAGTCCCGTTTCCTACGGGGCCAGCCGCTGCCTGGCGCCTCGGTGACAAGCGGGGAGGCTCGAGCTCCTTTGCCACTGTCTCCGCGCCGCTGCTCACGCTGCTGAAGCCATCGGTCACCGTCCACGCGCTGCTCTCTTCCGCAACGGGGCTACCACAGGGGGTGGCGGCGGTGGCCACGCTCCGGTTGTCACCCTGGGGGACGTTGCCCACGGCGCTGTCCCCTCTGCTGCCGTTCACAGCCAAACAAGTCCCCGCGTCCCCAGGGTCAGGCCTCGCGCCCAGGGGCTGCCCATCAGCACCCACGTCCACGTCGGACATCACGCTGGACCAGGGACTGGTTTTGTCCGTCGCCGCCGTTATCTCGTTGAGCGTCCGTGGCTCCACGACATCCTCCTCATCCTCATCTTCGCTGGGCGAAGGGATGAGGGCCCCTTCTCCCTCCCTCGGCTCAGGGCCCTCGTCTCCGGGGAGGGCCTGGTCCAGGAGGCCGCGCAGCATCTCCCTTTGGAAGCCGCGGTGCCGTCGCCCAGAAGGTTCCTTAGTCGTCTTAGTTATTGTCTGTAGGTCTGATGGACACAAAACAGCATCAGGAAATGCAGGAGGTGACAAGTYCCCTTGTAGCTGAAATATCTGGGCAATTTGCAAAGCAACAGCAAGGCCAAAGTGTGAAGAATTAACTATGCAGCTTAACTGTTTACAGTTCACAAAARTAGGAGCAGGATGGAGCTAAGGAAAGAAAAGGAAGTGTCTGGCATGAAAYAATCAGGAAATAACTAGAAATACTGAGGTGAGTGTAAAGAGAGTGAAGGCATCCTGAGACACCAAGCTCTGGGTGGGAAATTGTCAAAAGCAAGTGGAAAAAACTACCCAGTGTAAGAGTTTGGACAGGGAAACACCTGGATAGGGAGGGAAAGAGAGAGGGGAAAAATACCTTGATAGGCAGGGAAAGAGAGAGGGGGAAAAACCTCGAGAGGGAGGGAAAGAGAGGGGGGAAAAACCTCGATAGGGAAGATGGACAATGCAACAGCTTTTCCTACTTGCAGCTGCCTCAGTTTTATGTTGTAGGGGTCCAGAAGGGGCAGTTGCTGCTGCCACCATCTGCCTTGCAGCTCAATTAACCAATTCAGATCCAATGGCAGACAGTTGCTCTGGAATATTCCTAAAAGCAGGAAGACACGTTGGATTGCTGCCCTTTTGTGGGAAAATGGTAAGGCTGAAAGCAAAATGCTGCCTGTGCTTAAGCCTTAAGGGCATTTGTGCAACCTTGAGCATCTCTGGGCATTTTAACATTTATGTTATTTATATGTTTATGTTATGTTATGTTAATGTTTATCACCTGTCTTCAGTTTCTAGTTAACATGTGCTACTTATTTTTCATATTCTTTGAGAAATCAGCTGGCTCTTAAGAGGTGAGATGCCCAAGTGCTTTGAGGCAAGGGAAAAATTTGCTGTAAGGTGGTGCAAGAGCAGAAGATGTCTCAAAAAGAGAGGAAAAAAGGATCTTGGGGCAGATTGTAAAGGAGAATGGATAAAGCAGCAGTAAAATCAAAGAAATGACTATCAGAGATGATAAGAGAAATCAAAAGAGCAAAGGCTAGAGAGAAAAAGTGACACCATCAAGGTGCTAATACACAAAAAAGGGAAGATTTTGGCCTACCAGAAATCTCATTTCTTGGAAGTGCTGTTTTATTGTAGGTAGAAAGAATTTGCAGAGAGCAACTTGGCAATTGTCAGAGATGTAGCTTCTTCTCTCCTCTGCTGTGTTATTTTAAAAATACTGGCAGGGATTTGATTTCCTAGCCCCAAAGGCTCCTCACCGCAGCTCTGACACTAGATCGTGGTGACAGGAGCAGTTAAGTTAGGATAAAATTAAGTGCAAGCAGCAAGGAGAGCGGTGCTGATGAAGAGCGGGTATAACAGGGGGTTAAAAGCCAGACTAGGGAAAAAACACACATCTGGGAATAAAAGCATGCAGAGAAATAGCGTTTTCCTCACTGTTTGTCCCCAAAACATTCTCCTAGGGRACCAAGACACGCGTGTTATTGACACCAGAGGTCGGTCTTGGTTATGTAGGACACTTCAAGACCCTTAAAAGCAGCTTTGGGCAATGAAGTGCAGCCCACATGAGCACTCACCGTGGATCAGGCTGCTGACCTGCGACACCAGGTGACTCGATTTTTTCAAAAGCTGGTGCCCGTGGGGATCCACAGCTCTGCCCTTCAGGCCTGGGCGGTCGCCCCGCGGCTCCTCCCGACTTGCCTGGGATGTGGGGCCAGTTCCAAAGTCGGGAAAAGCCMCGGTCAGCTTCTGGTTGAAGTATTTCTGAACCTCGTCCAGCTCATTCAAGTTTTTCCTGTAGGCAGCAGAGGGAAAATTGGGAGAAAATACAGCMGATGGATTAAAAATGGGTTGTACTTGTCAACAGCTTGTAGATACATGAATGAATAGGAGGTTAAGGGCTATTATTGGAAAAAATAGATCAGTAGGTAACAGTGTTSAGGTTGCTCTAAGGCCAAGTTCAGCAGTAGGTCAAGAACAGCAGCTGAACCAGCTATGAATCAATTTTGACTGGGAGGTTTTTTTWAAAAAAGCAAGTTTTAAGGATACTGGATCTAAGGAAACTGGATTTGCAAATGCCCTTCTAATARCAGTCATAAAGGCAAGGCCATTAGCTGATTTTACGACTGAGCTTGATGAAAATCTGAGCATTTTTGTCCTCATTAGATCGAAGGATTTTCTGAAATATTGTTCACGGGAGCAAGGAATGAACGACCCCAGATGTGCTGAGCAAAYCAAACACACAGATACAAAAGAAAAGATGGAAAAAAACAGGCACAATGAAAATGCTAACAAGCTTGGCCTTGAACCTGTGAAAAACAGCTCAAAAAAACTGTTGTCTGAACAGTGCATGTTGCTTTGTGGATGAACCAAGATGGAAAAAATAGGGAATTCGGTCTAGATCTGAAAATGCTAATCCTGGAGCCCTTGGGAGACTCTCAGCACTGCCACAGCCCCTCAGTCTGAATGCGGAGCTGCCTCCTTAGTCCCCCTTTCCTCCAGGCTCATTCCATCCTGCTGCAAATGACGCTGCTCCCTTCCTGGCAGCTGCTTCATCAGTTAACATCCTAGTTTAATTTCCATTTCCTTTAAAATCGCAGGCGAGACTTCTTCCACTTTAAGCCCCGCTTTGCAAAGCTACGCCCCGCAGGAGGCTTTGCCTTACCTGAGAGCGGAGAGCAGGGCCGTCCGGGAGGGCGGTGAGGACGGGTGCGCGCGGGGCGCCCGCGGCGCGCTCCCCTCGCCGTGCTGCAAGCACTCGTGGAAGCGGCGCACGTTCCGCATGTGCAGCTCGTGCCGGGGCCTGGGGGGTCCGGGGGGGGCCCTGCTGCTGGGAATGAGCAAATATTTCACAGGGAGCAGCTAAATTCACCGATTTGCAACAGYTTGGCCACTTTGAGAATATCCAAAACCTTTAAATGCATTAAGAGCCACTAGCTCCCCTCAAACTACTCATCCAAATGGCATTCAGAATGGCATTTATACAGTTTTTATATAGTTTTTCGGAGTAAAATAAAGCAAATGGCAGTCTCGGTGCTGGCTGATATTGCAGGTTTCTATCAGCAGCACAAGCAGCTGCGAAATCTGCTCTCCTGAGCAGATACGAGGGCTACCTGCTGGCCCGGGGGCTCAGCAAAGCACCCACCAGGCTTCACAGTGTCTTCCCAGCTACCTTCAAGTCCCATATAGGAAAAGTATCATCCCCTACATGTACTAATATACAGGCCAGGACTTAATAACCTGCTTCAATATGTGAATTTTGGAGCCCTAAAAAGGGTCCCAATGAGCAGCACCCGGCTGACTTACCGCTCTTGAGCGGGATTGTTGGCTTCATTTCCCAAAGTGTTCGACGTCCGCCTGGGAAAACCTGCGGCACCGCTGGGAAGGGCGGCAGAGTCGACCCTCACCTGCAAGGAAGAGCGCTCGTGAGTCGGCCTCGTATGGGAATAAGGGAATTAAAGCAGGATCTTGGTCAGTTAATGGGTAAAAACTTGGCTAAAGAGCATGTTTGCCAGGACCAAGCCAAAAATCTTTCTCTTTTCCCTTCTTTTCCTTTCCCTTCTTTTCCTTTCCTTTTTTAATTTTAAAAATGCCTGTCAAAGGGCAAATTCAAATATCAAGAGGAAAACTGTTTTTCAAGCTCTTTTTGCACTGCAATTGCAGCTTCTGATTTACATTTTCCAGGGCCAGTGCTGCTGTATAAAAAGGCCATCCAAACAAGGGAAAGTTCACWGTGCCATGGAGAAAAAACTGATAATATAAAGTAAAAAGCAGATAAGCCCTGCAAAAATAATGTAAAAAGCAGACAAACCCTGCAAAGTCACATAAAACAAAAAAAGATAAACCCTGAAAAAAATCAAAAGCAGATAAAGCCCACAAAAATCAAATAAAAAGCAAATAAACCCCACAAAAATCACATAAAAAGCAAATAAACCCCATAAAAATCACATAAAAAAAAATCAAAGCCTGCAAAAACTAAGTAAAAATTAAAGCCCACAAAAATCACGTACAAATCAGACAAACTCTGCAAAAATCACATGGAAAAGCAGATAAACCCTACAAAAATCATATAAAAGCCCACAAAAACTGTGTAAAAAAGCAGGTAAACTCCACAAAAATCATGTAAGAAAAGCTGGTAAACCCCACAAAAATCATRTAAAAAGCAGATAAACCCTACAAAAATAATCAAATAAAAGCAGATAAATCCCACAAAATTCATGTAAAATATCAGTTAAACTCCGCAAAAGTCATGTAAAAATCAGATAAAGCCAAAGAARTGTAAAAAGTCAGATAAACCCCACAAAAATGACGTAAAAATAAGATAAATCCCACAAARAAAATCATGTAAAAAAAGAGGCAAACCACAGAAAAATCACATAAAAAGCAGGTAAACCCCAAAAAATCACGCAAAAAATCATGTAAACCCCACAAAAATGATGTAATAAATGAGATTAAGGCCCAGAAAAAAACAAACAAAATATCTGATAAACTCCAGAAAAATCACGAAAAAATCAGGTAAACCCCACAAAAATCACGAAAAAAATCAGGTAAACCCCACAAAAATTACATAAAATATCAGATAAATGCCACAAAAATCACACAAAAATCAGGGAAACCCCACAAAAATCACATAAAATATCAGATAAGCCCCACAAAAAATCACAAAAAATATCGGATAAACCCCATAAAAACCATGTAAAATATCAGATAAATCCCACAAAAATCACGTAAAATATCAGATAAACCCCACAAAAATCACGTAAAATATCAGATAAACCCCACAAAAATCATGTAAAATATCAGGTAAACCCCACAAAAATCACGTAAAAATAAGGTAAACCCCACAAAAATCAGATAAACCCCACATAAAAATCACGTTAAAATCAGATAAACCCCACAAAAAATCAGGTAAACCCCACAAAAAATCAGGTAAACCCCACAAAAAATCAGGTAAACCCCACAAAAACCGCATAAAAAAAGAAATTAAACCCCCCGAGAGTCTTCCCCAGGACCCAAGCGCATCTCTTTGCTGGGGCGCCGCGGGCCCGGGTACGTACGGAGCAGCTCGGCCTCCGCGCCCGCCTTTCCTCTCGGAGGTTGCCCAGACTTTGCAGAGGGGCAACCGCCACCTTGAGCTGCCCCCGGCACTGGCCGCTGAGGTCGGTGACGTTGTACCAGCCGCACACGAGCTGGAAGCCGGACAGGAGAGGAGAAAGGTCCACGGACGCAAAGCCCATCACTCGCTCGGACTCTGGGGAGAGGAATATGAAGCACGGACTCATTTAAAACAGAGAGATTTTGCTGCAATGATCAAAGCCAAGCAGGCCTTGAAACACTTGGAGACTTTGTAAGGGCAGAAATGGAAAATGCAGCAAGCTGGGGCAAAAACTGCAGTTTTTATGAGGTAAAGTGCAAGTGAAAACTAAAAAACAAGTGGGGGGGAAATGAATAATAGCTCAATAAAATAGAAGGGAGACTAAAGATTTAGATTTAGGTTGTTTGCAGGCTTCTAATCGGGGTAGTTATGATGTTTGGTGCAAAAAGACTGTTTTGAACAACTGGACCAGCTGCCTCCCTATGTATGTGTCAAAAGTAGCTGTTGCTGATTTAATAGTTGCTATCGAAAATTAAATTAACCTCTATGTTGGCAATAGTTCACAGYAGGAGGAGGGCCTTGCTGCAGGGGTACGAAAGCTCATGAATCCTACGTGGTTCCTCATCAGGAGGCTTGAACAAGGGTTGTAGTGCAGGGAAAGACATTTTGTTCGGAATTGGCTAGAAAGAGACAAACAGTAGTAAAGAAGAAAGTAAAGAAGTAAAAAGGAAAAGTAGRAGTAAAAAATGGACATGAAGGCCAATGGGGGGCTGGCAGCAAGTGTGTTCTGCAGCCAGAGTTTGATTCTCACTGCCAAAATGCACGTTTCTTACCCATTCACTTTGCCAAAACTTTCAAAAATGCYGATTTGTCATCACGCTGTTGCATTTTTGTGCAACATTTTGTCTTTTCTGGGTTGTAAATTTATCTGAAGTACAGAACAAACAATCCTACCCAGGAAGAGGACCTAGTTTTTTTTCTGAATACAGAAATAATTCTTACAATATATCCTTGACACATCCTATAAAAGCACGTGATGCCACTCCGATTAAAGACCAGTAAAAAGCCCATCTGGCCTGAGAGGTCAAATAGTCTTTACAGGCAAATTTCCTTTTTTACAACCAATACTGTAATCTTAATCATTTGTATTTTATCATCTGCCTCTAGAAAATATACAAAATTTGTAACATTTGCACTGTTATTGCAACTGCTTTACAACTYGCTCATTTCTGGCCAATTATTCAACCAATTATTCAGAAAAAAACAAACAAACAAAAAAAATCAGCACACAGAATATGCAATAAAGAATGTCTCTGTGATAGGAAAATCCATCCTCCAAAATCTTGTGGAATTTAGAAATGAAAAGAACTTGTGGATTATGAACAAATCAAATCCTGCCACAAGATCCACAGGGAAAGGGATACTGAGGGGCAGGAAACCAGTGGGGAATTAGCTACAGCTCTCTCTCAATGTAAAGCAAAAATGTCTTTACAGTTTCCCTCTCCCGTTTGCTTGAAGATACCAGGGGAAAGGGATGTCAACCAGCACTGCAAATCTTACCTGCTTTATGCCACACTTTGAAGACCAAGGTCTGCTGTGGATCCAGGAGAAGTTCTTTGGACAATCTGTTAGGAATCAAATCATAATTGGCTGTGAAAAACAGCAAGAATAGTAAAATGTCTCTGAAGATTCAGTGCYGTTTTACCTATCTAGACCAAACAGATTTTCCCTTGAATGGGGGGAAAAAATGAGTAATTTCTTGAAAGTAGAGTTACTTTTACATGTTTTTGGCTTTTGTTTATCCAAAAAGGTCTTTTCTTGGGTTGTTGACTACAGTTTATGGCCTGATGCACTGAGGCACCTTAGAGTGGTTGGTCAATTCACCTACCCTGATTTGGACTCYGATATCCACGTCCGAGAGCTGCTCCCCCTGTGCTGTCTTTATACTCACTAGGGAGCAAGAGGCCTCCCAAGGGAATAATTTTTCCCATCCGAAGCCGAGGATCTACCAGGATCCAAGGAGACTCGCTGAGTACAGGGGGCCTGTGTCTCCTCAGTGGCCACGGAGGAAGCTCAGGGTGAACAGCTCAGACTGCAGACACCTGAATTCCAAGTATCTAAAGTCAGAGCAGGCGAATCCCATTTTAGAGGGAACCAGGGCACCCTTCTAAGGATGGAACAAAGCCAAACGAATGGAAAAAAAAATCCAATAAACTGGATCAAACCTAAATAAATCTTCTCCAAAGCCCTTCCTTAATGTGGGGAAAGGGCCCCRTGTGGGTGCTCAGCACTTACCGGCCTTGGTGCTGGAAGTCCCAGACGGGCGCGTCCGTGTTTTCCACCACTGAGGTGGCCACGGGAGCAGCGGCGTCGGCGACGGTGAAGGACACGTAGCTGCTGGGCGCTGTCACCCCGCGCTCTGTCAATGGGCTCCCTGGAAAGCAGGCAGAATTGGATACAGAATCGTAAGCAAAGCACAAATATGTTTTTCTAAAGGCAGGTCAAAGCATAAACGGTTGGTTATATGTTTTTCTAAAGGCAGATCGGCAATTAAAATGGGAAATTTGCAGCTGGCGGAAAGGGCTTTAGCCAAGGGGAAAACAAGGCCTGACTCATCCACCAAACAGCGTTCAGACACGGGTTGTTCCACATTCCCTCCTCCTCCCATTGGGGGCAGCTCTGGGCTCCCCAGGACAAGGGGCACGTGGAGCTGCTGGAGAGGGGCCAGCGCAGAGCGACAGGGMTGAGGAAGGGCCTGGAGCAGCTCTCGTGTGAGGAGAGCCCGAGCGAGCGGGGCCTGTTGAGGCTGGAGAAGAGGAGGCCGAGAGGGGACCTGGTCAGTGTGTGCAAGCAGCCGAGGGGAGGATGGAGGCAGGAAGGGGCCAAGCTCTTGTGGGTGGTGGCCAGKGGCAGGACAAGGGGCAGTGGGTGCAGGTTGGAGGCCGGGCAGCTCCATGTGGCCGTGGGGAAGAACTTGTTTGGTGGGAGGGTGCCCGAGCCCTGGTTGAGGCTGCCCAGGGAGGCTGCGGAGGCTCCTGCTCTGGAGACCTTCCCACCGCGCCTGGATGGAGCGGGTGCCCCGTGCTCTGGGTGTCCCTGCTGGAGCAGGGAGCTGCACTGGATGATCCCTAGGGATCCCTTCCAACCTCAACCATCCTGGGATCTGTGATCTAACGAGGGCACTCAGCCATACTCAAAAGAGTCTTATTAAGACTGATTTTGCTTAGCAGCTGCTAACACCTGACTTTGCAAAGGAGCTGCACTGAACAAATTGTTTTCCATCAGTTTTATAAAGCGGTATTTGAAGAATGAGGTAATGTAAGAGCTTTACGACTAGGGCACCTGCTGCATAATGGTGTCTGGATCAGAGGTGAACTGTCCTGATGCCCATTTCATTCCAACCTTTTGCATKTTGTAGAACTCCACATGGAGGTAATTTTACTTGTTTTTCAACATTCAACATTATTGAATCAGGCTGCTTCTTTAGATATTTTGGAGGATGAAGAAAGAGAAAAGACTTTTCAGACAGGAAAACTGTCACCAAAGCCTCAGAAAATGTCAAAAAAAGGGGGGATCACTTTGCATCTTCTCCCAGTTTTTGAAAACTGCGTCTATTAAGCAGTTCTTCCAAAACTGCATAAAGTTTGGCACCCAAAACATACTGGACTGGAAATGCATTCTAACATATTTTATCTGTAAGGCAGTAGTGAAAATCACAGCTTATGTGAAAAGCCACTGGTATTATTCAGTATTTGCCAGAAATAGTGGTACTTAAGTCATGGCTTCTATTGGACTCTTAGTTGTGCTCTAAGTCTCACGCCAGAAAATGCTGAGTGCTCTTTTTTAATCAAAGCACCTGGAGAAGGCAAATTGACCTTTGAACAAAGACTCTTCCATAAAAATCCCTTATTTATATCTGTATTTAGGCTGCAAGCAATGGCCTGAGCAATATCTGATCACTGCAAATGCTGAGCAAGCACGAAGTGATCAGGTCGTGCAGTAATTTTCACTCTAGAGGAAGGAAATTGGGTGTCGAGCTGGGTGATTTCAGGCTGCTCTGTCCTTATATTGCCCTTCGTCTCTACCCTGCCTGGCAGCCTCTAGATAGCACAAATAAGCTGGCTTTRCAAATTGGTTACATGCTAAAAATGCAGGATGGGCAAGAGGCTGAGATAGGAGTGTCCCAGGGTTAAGTTATTCAGATAACACTTCAAAATTCAGCTGCCAGCTGCAATGTGACCATAATATTGTCTATATTTTATTTTTCATTAATAGAGACTGCATAATCCCTCTCCCTGCTTCCCCTGTGCTTATGCAACGATCTTAGGGCTGCGACACCACAAAGCCAAGCTCAAAACCCACCTCATCCACTGCATTTGAATAMATTTGATGAGAATTTCTTGGTTTTCCATTTATAAATTTCTCCTTGCACTAAGTGTCATGCGCAGATCCAAGGGAAAAAAACAGTAAGGGTTGTTTTTTTTGTTTTACCTTTTAAACTTAGATGCATGGCTCTTTCCACAAGGATWGAGACAGCAACCGTGTTTTCCAGAGACGCCAAGTCTTCTTCAGAGGGTTTTCCATGGGTGGCTTCAGAATTTACAGTCTCCAGCTTCTCACTGTGATTTTCAGGGACCTCTGGGGCTTTCTCCGTTTCTTCCTCACTACTGCTGCAGTCCTCAGCATGACGGGGTCTGCTGCTCAGGGCAGGGGACGGGGAGGACAGTGCAATGTGGACACGCACAGCGGCTCCTGCCAGGTCTGCAGCGTTGCAGCGGAACAGCGGGTAGACCCCTGCAAAGACAGTTCACAACCAGTCAGCTGAACAAACCAAAGGGAATTCTCAGGATGGTTGAKGTTGGAAGGGATCCCTAGCGATCACCCTGTCCAACCCCCTGCTCCAGCAGGGACACCCGGAGCACGGGGCACCCGCTCCAGCCCGGTGCGTTGGGAAGGTCTCCAGAGCAGGAGCCTCCRCAGCCTCCCTGGGCAGCCTCAACCAGGGCTCGGGCACCCTCCCACCAAACAAGTTCTTCCCCACGGCCACATGGAGCTGCCCGGCCTCCAACCTACACCCACTGCCCCTTGGCCTGCCCCTGGCCACCACCCACAAGAGCTTGGCCCCTTCCTCTTCACATTCTCCTGCCAGAGTTGTCATGGTAAAGATCTCACCTGAGACYAGCAGGTTGGTTTTCACCATCGTTTCTGTGCAAGGCTTTACCAAGTGCAGTATTAGAAGCATCAGCTTGTAAACGTAGGAGCAGGGAGCAACTCCCCAAATGGCAACACCTTCGTTCTCCCTCTAGCAGTAATAAACAGAGCTAATGACCTATCCATACATCAGCCTACGAGCTGCTGGCTGGGCTGAACACCACACAGGCAATAAAGGCGCAAGTGACTGAAGAAAACAGTGGTTTCCAACATACTCCCCCAGTGCCCTGTCCTTCRCTCTGACTACTGACATTCAGCCTTCTTGGGAGGCATTTCCCCAACTCCTGGCTCTTTCTTGCTTTATTCGGATGCCAGATCTTTGAGGCACAATCTGTAATTCTGAAGAAACATTCCAGGCTAATCCAGGTCTTTTTTTTTCACCCATTACTGATCAACTTTCTTAGATCATTAAGATCTCAAGATCATTACTGTCAACTTTCCATCCATTTATCTTGCTAAGTTTGGAACTTGGGGAGGCAAGTGTATTAACTTTGTTGATCTCCAAGCAGAGGAGAAGGCAGTTGAGCCCATAAAGGGCAAAATAAAACTGTAAAAGTTATGTTTAAGGTGACCAGGCAAGTTAAACCAACAAGAACATCACTTAAGGGGGATGAAATAAAGGAATGTTCTTTAGGAACTCACCACTAACGCTTAGCGTTTTCCTTGACCTCTCTGCTAGGGCTGAGAGGTCGACGTAGGCAGATCCAACGAGACGGTCGGTATCAAGGGGTCTTTTCACATTGTTTTCTTTCCCGTATGCCCACCACACCTGGACTTCTAACTTCTCCTCCCTGAAGAACCAGTGCAGCCCAGGGCTCCTCCTGAGGGTCACCCTGTTTGGCTTCTTGAAGTTCACCACAACATTCTTTTTGTCATCACTCACTTTTGGTCTCCTAAGCAAAGTCCACGCGGCTTCCTGATTATACAGCTTGTACCTGAGGTAGCAATAAGTGCTTTTATTGAGCTGCTTCTGGCCTGCAAGCAGCACGCAGTGGACTGGCAGCCATACTCTGGGGGTAGAAACGGTCACAACTGCTGGGTTGTCACCCTGTTCCCATTCGTCGCTATCATCCATGCTGTCCTCAAGGTTTTCCTCGCTGCTCCAGCCTAAAAATTTAGCAGCTTCCAAAACTCGTTCCCTGTCATCGTGGCGAGCAAAAGTTATGGAAAGCTCCAGTCCTCCCACGATGGTCTGCAGGATGTTTGTGCCAYGAGGAGGCACTATGTCCTCTGAGAGGGTAACTGGGAACCAGCCTGTAATTCCTGCAGGAGAAGAGATCTAAATCAGCCTTATCTGACCTGGAAAATGTCAGGAACGATTTTTTCATGATTTAGTCATTAATCCAGGACTTTCACCTTGGAAGTGAAAGTTTGGAATTTATCAAATTAATTCCAAGCTGAAAAAACAGCGGGTTGTTACACCTCAGAAAATCTCACATGTAGCTGTGATCCCAAATCATTTCACTTCTCATTTCACTAATAATTCTCATTTCACAATCAGATTRTCCCTCACGAATCTCCATTACTAGAAATGATATCTTATACTTAATAAATAAATACAAGAATAAAAAGTTAATCCAACTGTTTTTTAAATTACCTAGGCTTTCGTTTCCATATTTGTCATCTCAAGAGCATCATTGGTCCTCCATCAAATTCTACCACTCTTGGACTTTCAATCATAAAGTAGGAAATAAGCAGCAGTTTATAATGACATCTAGGCACATCTATACATCTTGTGTGACACCAAGTGACATCTATACAGTGTCTTACTCTCAGCAAGGTGCCACTGGCTGCTCTCTTTTAATGTCTGAAGACTGACATTAATACAAAATACACTAATCACAGACATCAACTGCTGTTATTGTCCAGCAAACTGAAAGCTGATCTTCAAACAGCTTCCATTGTATGAGCTTCCTAATACAGGATTTTAAACATACATATACGCAATGCCTGAGAGAATTTTGGTCCAAAAAAGTAAGAATCCAATTTGTTTTAAGCAATTAATTACAAGAGCATCTATACAAAGCGTTGCTAGTGTAACTGTCACGTTACCTGATCTTTTTCTCAGCAGGTCTCTGGTTGGAACTGTGACTGTGCCAAGCTGATAATCTCTTGATGTCTGGGCTGCCAGCGTGTCAGTGACTGGAAAATAATAAAAGTTTGCAAATAGAGCAAAGTAGGATGCAGGATTCAGAGTGTCCTTCTAGAAAAAGCTGCATCACAACAACAGCAGATAGCTCAGCTACCAAAGCAAAAAAACTTTTAACCCCTGGAAAAAGGTCCAAACAAATGGCTCTGGATGTATCAGGTCCAAATCAGCAAGGAAACAGGGTGTGAGTAACACYTGTCTGCAAGTCTTGCCAGTGTGCATCAGAGCACATCCATTTCAGGGCACTTGCTCCATCCTCACTATTAATTTCTTCATTTAGAAGAGAGTTTGATCATCTGGAGTCTTGGAAGCCTTAATTCTTTGTGCATGGGAAGAGTCCTTCCCAAAGCCTTCTCTGAAGGCAGCTTAGCTAATTATCTCTGTTACTGACTGCACAAAGTCTGTCTTCTGAACTGAAAATTAACAGGACTGGATCATTACCTAAAATAACCCACCATTTAGCCCCTGCACTCGTCTTCCTTACCTGATTTGATGTTCTGATGGTAGATAGAGAAGACGATAGTTGCAGAGTGCAGGAGCTCCCCCAGAGAAGAGGCTTCTCCACTGCTCTTCTGCATGATGAGGTGACAAGGAAACTCCATGTGGTCCCCAAACTCTGGGCAGAAGTTGTGAGCCACAGAGCGTGTGTTCTGGGTCTCCGTCTCCGGGAGGAAGGAGGGCCGCACAGAGATGTAGGTATTGACTCCCACCCCTGCATAGTACTGAAGCGAAGGGTTCTTTTCTGCAACGGCTCTTCATTCAAGAAAGGAGAGGAAAACAGAGGGAGGAGTGGATATAACGTGCAATAAAGTTAGGGATCCATGCAAGCAAAGCAAAGGTTTGATGGTGGAACAAGCCATGAGACAAAAATAAACCAACACATTGGATTCTGTATTTGTGGGTTTTGGTTAGCTTGGAAGCACTTGGTAAAACAAGGACTTGTTTTCATCTGTGCAGAGGGACTGTTATATAAAATAGATGTGGGTTTAAAACAGATGGCCGCAGGTTTGCCTAGGACAAGTATGACATGGTGGGAGTAGCCATCACCAGGTCACCACTTTGGTGGCCAAACTAGGTGAGAAAGTACTGAGCACCTTCAGAAACATCCCCGCTGTAAAGGCAATAGCAGGATAAGGTCACAGAGAGCCTGCTCCAGGGAAAGCAAAAGGCCAAGACTCATTATTTTTACACACTAGTACTGATAAACAAAAGGAGGTGACACTGGCAGATGAAATTACTCATAGTTAAAGCAGGTCAGGTGCTATTCAGGTCACACACCTGAAGAATCAGGTTTTGGAGGCAATTCAACTTTCTTCTTAGAGCACCATATGGGAGTGATCTTCATCACAGGGAATCTACCTCAATCAAGACAGATCAATTACTGCTCAGAGAAGTCAGTGGACACAGCTCTAGAATGACCAGAGCCACCCTGCCCTTTGGGGTGGATACGGATATCAGCTTTTGGTGTAGAAAAATATGAAAAAAAGAGCTAATACTAATGCATTGCAAATCGAAGCTGCCTGCCCTACAGTCTTGAGCCTCCTGCAGAACAAATGCTCCTACAAAATGCTGCAGCTTAAGGGACAAAAATAACCACTGCTGTTCTTTATAAAAGATATTTTCTCTTCTGATTAGGACCCAGTTTGAATCTAGGTCCCTACAGATAAAAAAGTGGCCAGTTACAATTTGTTCTAATGCCCCAGCCTGCAGCCTCCAGATAAGGTTATTTTGAGAGCGAGCTCTTTGTTTTCCAATTAGATTTTACCTGGCTGCTGCCTGCAGACCAGCTGCTCTGTGTATCTGCACAGAAAGAGATACAGCCTGAGCACTTCGTATTCCTGCTGCTGTTTTCAGGGAACATCGGTATCTCACGCTCACATCAAGCAACCCTGGATTACATAAAGGAGGGGAAAGAAAAAGAAAGAAATGGTTAGCTTTATAAAACCACATCCAGTATAATCTGTGCTTTATTATATCTCGCGACACAAAATTCACTCATTAATGCAAAAAAAGAGAAAAAAAAGAAAACAAACAGATGCACAGCTGGGAATTTAAGCCTATTAAGAATGACTTTTTCTACAAGATGCTCTTAGCCAGCCAGAAATTATGGCCTGATGTTGGAGGCAGAGAAAAACTGTAATGTTTTTGTCCTAAGGGAAGCCTGATGAGATGGTGGGAACGGCTCCTTTTCATCCCCAGATTTAGGACACACGAGAAGCAGGATGGTCGAACCCCAACATGCCCTCGTGTCTGCACTCGCGGCCAGTTTTCAAATCCACCACTGCAGGGTTTTTACATCATTTTTATAGTACTGCAGTGACAAAGTCATCAAAAAAACAGCTTCTCTTCTGCTGCAAGCAGCTAATGATTATTGCAACTAGCTGAAAAACACTGAACTCCCTCTCCTGTCCCAGCTTTTCTCCATTTTTTTGTGTGACTTTTCCTAAAAATGTGTCTTTAATTCTTGCATCTTCCTGCTAAGCCTTTGTGATGGGATTTGAGGTTGTTTGTGTTTAATCACTGATTCTTACCAGTGAGAGATGGTAGAAAAGCCTGTGTGGTAGGTATCAGTTACCAAGAGACATACTTATTTTTATTCCCCCTTTCAGTGAATGCAGAGAGGTTCATATATAAGTGAAACCCCCCAAATCTTCCTTACCTGATGACCGGAATTCCTCGGAGGAATCAGTCTTTGGGACCAGTGGAAGATTGAAGGTTTGTGTCCCGATTTCTTCACGAYGCTGCATAGTCACCAGGGCACACAGCCGTGACAAAGGCAAGGTCCCTTTGGCAACCATCTGATCTCTGACATTTGGATARTAATACCTGGTAAGACACACAAAAAAAAGCTGTGTACAATCGTGGTGTTTTGATGATGACAGAATGAGCTGCATTTCTCTTGGGACAGAACACAGGGTGGCTTGAATTCAGGTGTCTTCCAACACTAGTTCTCAGTCTCCTGGGAGCTGAGGAACAAACTCTAGTAAGGAAATTGGAAATTTCTAGAGAAGGAGAAAYAATACATGTTCCTGAGTAGTAATACCACAAATTTAATTCAGGAAACTGCATTAAAGCACTGTTTTTAAATGCCAGGTGCTAACATTTGGTAACTTCAACTTGTGGGCATTATCAGTATCAGTGTAAACATGTCCTACATATAATAACTCTTATATGAGTATGTAGATTTTACATAGTTTGGTTTGTTTAGTACAAGCAGTTTATAAATATGCTTTTCTAAGACAGTTGCCTTTGTGGTCTCTACTTTCTGCTACCAGTAATTAGCTTCAGTTGCCAAAGGAACTATGATTTGAGCTTCAAGTTAAACGAGACAACCTCATCTCATCTGCAGCATAAAATGTTGTGCAAAGAGGAACAAATGCAAGCTAAGATCCTTTAATGAGCCAGGAAGAACATGGGAAACACCAATCAAGAAAATATGCCAACGTTTTGCAGCATATTCTGAAGCCAGGGACTGTAGTATGAAAATAAATAAATAAAATCACTCTGTTAAATACTATTATGCTGATAAAGTGGAGGAAAGAAAACTGAGAGCAGACATTTGCTAACAAAGCCATCAGAAAGGAGTAATCAACACTTTTTTGGAAGGAAGGGACCAAATGTTGATGAGCTCACTAGTTTCCTCCCATTATTAAATAGCAATCCYGTAATTAGGTATTTTTTCCCCAAAGATTCACCTCTACTTGTATTGCTGTGACACCTACAGATAATAGTATGTTRTTCTGTACCTGCACCAGACCTCAAACTGGATTCCTCCTGCAGACATTCCAGGTGCCATGAATGCACCCACCAGGAGCCTCTGCACCGGGACATCGGCAGGAACGGACAGGGAATGATGATGCTCATCATGAAAGATAGGATCAGGGATGCACAAGGTCGTTGCTGTACGAAAAGCCTTTAGCTTCATGCCTGCAAGTCAAGGGAGTTGGTTAAACAGCCAGTCCTGAATTSCCATGCACAAGGAGAGAAGCAGAAGACATTCAAGTTATGAACAGGGCGCTGAAGCTTCGGATACTTGAAGTGGTTTGGGACGAGCTAAGCAAGACACAAGTGCTGGGAATTCCTCCCTGGAAACAGAAATTTGTGGTTTGCAGGCTGAAAAAGCTGCTGCTGGATATGGCTGGGAGCTGACACAGTCCCCAGCAGTTGCTTGGGAACAGTGTTACTGGTAGTGTCATTTTTCAGAGGAAATAATGTATCKCTATTCAGTGTATTAAAGCTAACACCAAGTTCATGCCTTGGAATTTTATTTATTTAAATACTCCTTGATTGGCATTGGCTCCATATGAAAGCGCAGAGAATCACATACCGCTCTACTTAAGCGGACACAACATTAAAAAGCAACGTTTAACTAATGCAAATTAGCAATTAAGCTAATGCAAAGCTTTAAATTATAGGTGTTATAGTGAAACACACTGACCATCCTCGYGCAGTTGAGCTCCTTGGGAGGCAGCCTCTTGCACAGGGAAGTGGTACTGCACGTAGCAGTCGGCCTCCCCCCAGACCGTGGCCTGCAAGGGGGTGAGTCCCTTCACACTGTCCACGCGGATCTCAAACACGTGCTCCAGCAGGTCCTCTCCTTCTCTATCCAACTGCTGAGATAAAAAAGAAAGAAAAGTCACATAGAGAGGAACTTTTCTCCTGAATGTTCACAGAAAATTACCAGCAGGAGAGCAAATTTGCACTCTGCAAAAGCCAAAAATACATTTTTAGGACTAAAAGCCCACACACATCTAACTGAAGTTTGGTGGAAAACCTTTGTGGTGTGGAACAAGGCTTGTGAACAAGAAACACAATTTTCTGGAATTGTTTTTTTACTGCACTTGTCATAGGCAAAACRACAAATGTGCAGGGCAGTAAAAAAATGGGATAATGTCAAGACTGGTGAAAGAAAGCAGGGTAATAAAAAAAGTACAAAGAAAACACTGTATTTTTACACAGAATATGATGAATCTACAGCAAAACTGGCTACGGGAGAGACTGGAAACCATTGACCTGTTAGTGAAACCATAGCTCAAAATCCTCCTAGCAGCAAGAACTGCAGTTTAGGGAACGATACCATTGTGGGTGACATAGGAGGAGGATCCAGCGAGTGGACAGGACGCGGAGCGACGGGAGGGCCGGGTCCCTCCTCGTTCTTTAGCCTCTGCAGTTCCACTATTTGACGGGCTGAGCCCATGGCCAGAAGGACCCTCAGGCTCCCGCTTTTATTGCCTGTAAAAACATCCACCACGGGCAGATAGTTGTCCACAGCCACGACTGGGTACTGCGCTTGCAGCAGCAGATGGGAAATCTTCGGATCTCTGCAGGAGATTAAAACAAATTAAAAAAAAAAGCTCATTTCTAGTGAAACTTTTAATGTGCTAGAAACAAATGCAACTCCATTCCTCCAAAATTCAGTTACATTGGTCTTCATAAAGCACAGATCACAGGCTGAGATTGGAAGGGACCTCTAGGGATCATCCAGCCCAGCCCCTGCTCCAGCAGGGACACCCAGAGCACGGGGCACCCGCTCCATCCCGGSGCGKTGGGAAGGTCTCCAGAGCAGGAGCCTCCGCAGCCTCCCTGGGCAGCCTCAACCAGGGCTCGGGCACCCTCCCACCAAACAAGTTCTTCCCCACGGCCACRTGGAGCTGCCCGGCCTCCAACCTGCACCCACTGCCCCTTGGCCTGYCCCTGGCCACCACCCACAAGAGCTTGGCCCCTTCCTGCCTCCATCCTCCCCTCGGCTGCTTGCACACACTGACCAGGTCCCCTCTCGGCCTCCTCTTCTCCAGCCTCAACAGGCCCCGCTCGCTCRGGYTCTCCTCACAYGARAGCTGCTCCAGGCCCTTCACCATCTTCATCATTCTGCGCTAGCCCCTCTCCAGCAGCTCCACGTGCCCCTTGTCCTGGGGAGTCCAGAGCTGCCCCCAAGGCTCCAGCTTTGGCCTCCCCAGAGCGGAGCAGAGGGGCAGGATCCCCTCCCTGCCCTGCTGCCGACGGCCTCCCGATGCAGCCAGGAGCCCATTGGCCTCCTCGGCCACCAGGGCCCTGCTGCCCCATGGGCACCTCGGTGTCCCCAGGACTCCCAGGTCCCTCTCTGCAGAGCTGCTCTCCAGGAGGTCAAGCCCTAWTCTGTCCTGGTGTCAGGGGTTATTCCTCCCCGAGATGTACCTTCCTCTGGATGGGAATGGCCTTTTTTAACATTGGGAAAGCAGAGCTCTCTCAGCAGCAGTGTGGCCTTCATGCTAAACCAGCTTAGACATCTGTGGGGGATTCAACTGCAACAGGACTCTATTAACACACTACATTTTTATCAACTAGTTACGCCTCTGGGGCAGGAAGACAAGAAGTGATGGAGTCTCCATCAAGCCAAAAACTGCAAAACTCTGAGAATAAAYTGAAAATATAAACAAGCAAATTACACACTAGAGGCATACAATTAGAGTAATGAAACGCTAGGAATTAACATAATACCAACCAGTAAGCTCAAGCACCATCTAATTTCCCCGTATGATTAGCCTGACCTAACCAAAAGGAACTAATTCTTTGAGTTAGAGAGAATCTGTCCTATCATTTCCATTAATTTAAATTGGTTTTAGTAGCAACAGGATTAAAGTACAGTCAAAACACGAAGCATTTAAAGACATTTTTTGATATCACAAGCATTGCCCTGTGCTGTACAAACWGAGAGCATCTCTAGCAATGGGATTCTTCTTATTATTTCATCTATTAATATTTTAGTATAAATATCAATTTATTWTTATTTTATTATTATTYTTATGATGGGCATAATAATTTATTTGGCAAGACAATAATGGTTCATTCTGGAAAGGATCAAGAATCCTCCCATGTGCACTCAAGACATCACCCTGTTTTCTCTGAGCTTTGCTCAGGATATATCCCAAGACAAGAAAATACAGAGCACAGATGCTTACTTGAATGACACATAAAACTGATGCAGAGGAAGCTTCACTAAGCCCAGCAGTTTGTCACAGCCAGGGTTTGCCAGCTTGTTCCAGGCCTCGATGATCATGAAGTTGTTCTTGAATCGCTCCAAATGTTTGGAAGTCAACAAAAGAGGCATCACCTGGGGGAGTTCAAACCAAAATTAATACACAAAAAAAAWAAGCACTGGAAGATATTTGTTAATTACGGGGCAGTTTGGTACCATTAGGTAATTAGAGTCAATAGTCTTGTTTTCTTTAGAGATGGGAATTAAAAATTGAAGAGTCCTTGTCTAACATGAGGGCTAACAAGAAGTTCAGGAGACTGGTAGGTTTGAAAAAGAGCATATTAGGAAAATAAAGGAGATTTAGATAACAAGTGATCTTATGTTAAAAACAACTGTTTTTAAAGATAGTAASTAGCCCTTTAGAGTTAAAATAAAGCATGTCAGATAACTGTTTCAGATGATTTTTGCTGTGCTTCTACGTTCCGCTTTTTCATCTGAAGACTAAGTCTGATGACTCAAACCACTAAGTACTACAAAAACAAACAAAAAAACCCTCCATATTTGAACATCCTGACATTTCCAGAGAGTAATGGCCAAAAAACCCCAACAACTACAATCTTATAACATTATTAAAAGAGAGGAAAAAAAAAGCAGTGAAACATGGTGAAGTTTGCAACACTATGCAAGTCTGAAATTCTGCTGTTTGCTGGGGAAGTTTGCTGGGGCCATATCAGGATGAAAATCCAGACTTAGCAGATGGACAAATCGGTTAAGAAGAACRAGAGGACCAAGCAATGGAACAAAACAAAACAAAAGTCTACACTTATGTATTTGGATACTAATAATATAGCTTCTATGAAGAAAGAAAGGATAAATCAACTTCTTTTTCAGTTTTTACCAAGGCTTTCCTGACCAGTCCCCTCTWGTGCCTCATCTGCCATTTGGCTGGCTCAAGGAACTCTGCAGTGCAGCCAGAGCAATACTAAAAATATGTGACATATTGGTCAGAGACAAATGGTTCCTAAATATGTGAGAGGAACTGAGTTTTGAAACATGTTTGTCAGTGTGAAAAGGTGCAGTTCAAGCAAGGTACCAAGGACAAGGTGCCACTTGCCTGAGAGAAGTTAAAGGCAGGTTCTGTTGTGCCCCATATAACAGAGGAACTCGTTGCCTCCTCTGTACTGAGCAGCTTGCAGTTTAAATACACGTTACAAGRACCATGGCAGCCACGTTCTCCAGTGACAAAACCTTTTCCAGCRGGCACCATCAGTAGCACGTGCAGCAACAGCCCGTCCTCTTCAGGTGCAGTTTGTGTCACCAGATCATGGGACACAGAGGTCGATACGGCCTGTGGGAGCCGTGTGATCTTCGTGTTGGTGGTTCCTGTCTGCTGCGAGTCCTCACRAGGGCTTGGTTTGAAACCATGAAGRTTTTCTGTATTTACATTAATCCCRTCAGCTTCCCGGAATTCCAACTTGGGACTTGTTACGGCGTGAGCTGGGACTCGCTGCACAGCCATAGCTGACCTGGCCGTGGTGCAGGTGAAGTCCTTGTTGTCAGCTGCGAGCTCTAGGGACACCTGTGTCACCCAAGGCAAAGTCAGGACGTCAGCAGACATCCTCACGTACCAAAGCTCCCTGTCCTGTCTACGTGCCGCTCCAAATCCACCCGTAAAGTAGTTCTTGTACCCAAGCTGTAGCTTACTGACCCTGGAGTTACCCTGCAACCAAGGGAATCACACACAGCAAAACCCTTGGACTTGGAAAAGGCTGGAAATGTCTATCCCAAACCTTAAGAAATAAAAAAGGATTTATATTTTCTTATATTAGGTCTACAAAYCTTCATACGTGAGAGCTGGTGAACTAAAATAGAGAAAAATAGAGGAGCAAAGAAAAGAATATCTAGACAAAATCAGTAACAAAGTGATTCAACCCAAACCCAATGTGGAAAACACAAACCTTAAGGGGTCCAACTTGGGTCTGACCTCTTTCTTCTTTCACAGGGATTTCACAGCTGACAGAGAGCTGCTCAGAYTGAATTATCTTGCGTAACTCGAGGACTGCAGAGCCAATGGCCACCGGCTGAGGGGAGAGAGAGAGAGAAATCATTCCACGAATTTCTTGACGGCTTTAGCTAAAGACATATTGTGAAATGGAAGTCTTTGGAAAGCCTGAGAAGGCCACGGGCAACCACTTCTGTTGTGAGCTATACCAAAAGGGATTAATGTTTCCCTTACTTCCAATTCCAGGTCTCTGTAGGACAACAGTAAGGGAAACTCCTCCAGGACCTAGAGTAGTTCCAGATCAATGCAAAAAAATGAACATCCCAAATGCTACTGAGTTTGGAAATCTTTCTCAAAGAGGCAAATTGTTCATCCACTAAAAGAGGAACTCCTATTAGGACAGATGGGCAGATATTTGGTTTTTATTAAGACAAAATACAAGCTGATTTAACACTTTTCACTGATTTTACCACAAGCAGATGATTATGCAGATGTGGTTACTTGCATCTGTTCACCTAAAAGATTTWTTCCCCCTCAAAAGCACAATTTCTGCCAATTTCTCACACCTCACACGATTCCTCTTAGCCTTAGGCAGAGTAATGATACCAACTGCATCAAGATTAGCTCATTTGATATCGCTTAACACACTGTGTTCTGATTAAAGACTGACACTTCTGATTGATCCAATATCCCCAAACATCAAGAATTAAGTTTTAAAGACGAGGGAAGGACACATTTTGGGGGTCTTTCAGCCTTAAACTCAGAAAAATCRTTTAGTTGGGTAGAAAGATTGAACATCAGTTACTTCAGCTTACAGAATCTGCACTTAACATCATTCCCCTTCATAGTATCTGGCAATAGATGATTTGGTGGCTCATTTAAGCCACATTAATTAGTCTATATTGATGGTTGATGGCTGAGACTGCAACAAGTGCAATGAAGTCTGCAGATAACTTTAAAAAATACTATTTTATGCATAACTATTTGGAGGAAATGCAAATGCCAAGTTTTTCCATGCCTTTTAATACACAAAGTTTAAAGAACTTTTAGCAAGTACCTTTTTCTGTGTGCTTTTTCTCATGTAGATTTTAAAAGCAAGGTCAGAGCTCCACCAGTGCTCTATCATCGTTCCACCAAAATGAACAGGGAACACAAAACGCTGCTGAAATTTTACCACTGCAAGGAAGACAGAGACTTATGAGCTCTCACCTGGGTTCAGAGCTAAAGGGTTTTCAAGCTTCACCTGGAGCTTCCTCCAGTCTCTGCGTGGAAAACACAGAGGGYTGGGAACAGATGAGTGACATTCAGGGAACACGAGAGGAAAACGGTGACACTTCTCAGCAGGGTGGACAAATACAGAGGGCACTTGTGTGTCTACCAGAATCAAGGATCAAGTTAGGGTAGGAGCTGAAGGGAAAGCTCCTGTTGCTGGAACCCTCTATGAGAATCTCTTGAGGTTTCAGCCTATAAAATGCATTGCAAATCTCTAGATAATTAACATCTTTTTGCAGAAATGTTTGCCATTATTTGAATATTAAGCTTCCCTGTGGAGATAATCACTGCTCTGTTATTCACACAACCATCCAACTTAGGTGTGTAACTTATTAATAGCAAATTTGAAGTAAACTGTTCCTCATTTTCCAAGGGCATAAAATAGCAGCTTGGCAGCATCGATATCACAGCAGCATCTAAAGGCTGCAGCTCATATGAAATCTATGCTGGCCCAGCATGCAGTAAGAGATGGCCCTTGTTTTACAGTGGAAGAACTTGATCTCATCTTAGTTGATGCATTTCAAGACGTATCTGGACACAGAAAAAGATCTCCAAGAATAATCTCAGGTCCAGAAGGAAACAATCTGCAAAGAAAGACCGAGTTGATTGGTGTTCACTCCAACAAAGAGAAGAATAACAGTCTCAAAAAAGCCTCCCTGTGCGTGAYGAACGGAATAAATATTCTAAATAAAAACTCGATTAGATATAAGGAAAATTTTCTAGCAGGACAGCATTCTCATAGTTTGTCTGGGGAGGCTATGAAATCTCTACTATTGATCCTTTTTAAGGATAGATGAAATAATGACTCAAGAAAGATACTGGTGTGGTGGATTGACTAAATGCCTTTTGATTATTTTTAGTCCTTTCTCGTTACAAGGAGCTGAAATCTACCTAAGCAAGACACAGGAGGCAGTATTGTCCCTGTGTTATAAACATCCAAGATTCRGAAGAATTAGATATTTTGTCCAGACTCAAACTGAGAATATAGAACAGACCTGAGAACGATGTCCAGATATTTTAAGTACCACTCAGAAAAAAAGCAAAGTCAATGAATAAAACAATATGACAGTCATTTGGAAACTGCCTGAATTGCAGTTTCTAGGAAAAGCAGGCACAGAGGATCTCGCTCAAGCAGCTTTCTTGGCTCATCAAGGAGAGAAATGCAACTCAAAGTATCTTCAGGGATAGAAACACTGGTGCTTTTCTTTAAAGGGATGAAATGGCTACTGATTTAAGCCCAAAACTTCAGGATTTTACTGAATCTAGCACAATCTCTAGCTCCTCATGTTATGTGATGTTATGTGATATATTCCAGCATCTCAAAAAAAAATATTTACTCGATACAGAGGTATCTCTGATATTTGTGAAAGGAACTTACCATCTTGAGTACTATTGCAAAAAGGGTGGTTTTATTTTGAGACAACGGAATGGATTTATTGACTCACCGTGAATCCCCTAGGAAAAGAGAAGTGCAAATCCCAATGTCACTATTTCTTGGAAGCGGAAGGAAAAAATCCCTTGGATACCTGCTCCCCAAGAGGAACATTCATCCACCTGCAAGGTAGCAACTCTCTGCTGATAGAGGTGCCACTACTTATAATACAACTCACTGTATTTTTTTCCACGTAGCCAAGAAAATATACAGCAAATACTACTAAATAATTGCTGAGAGATGAAGAGGGGGAAAAACATGAGGGGAAAATGAATTCTCTCACCGTCGCCTGTGATTTTACTTGAAGCTATTCGGGTTACTTCTGTTGTCAGTGAGAGCTGTCCCTTTTCATCCTTGGAGGCTCCCACGGGGAAGTGGTACTCAACAAAGAAGGTACTATGAATGAAAAGGGGAATAGATGGTTACAAATCAGCAACAGTTTAAGAGCAGAGAAACTTCACATCCACAGTTTATAAAGCTACCACACAACAAGCCTCGTGGAAGACTAGCACGGAGGAAGGGGTAAGAGGTTGGTGAGACACGATCCCCCTTACCACTTTTTAACTAATGCAGGTCTTGGAGGCTTCCCAGATAAACTTTTCTTTCCTGGTGTAATCTGGACGATTTCAGGAGGGATTTTCAAGCTTTCAATGATGACTCTGGCAAGGTGGATTCGCCCCAGCAGTGCCAGCCTATCTACACTCAGGGAGACGAGACAAGCTTCTTTTGTACAAGCTTCTGAAGGAGCAAGTTGTCTGGTGGGAGAGCAGCTGAAAAGTTAAAACTGAGAGTCAGGGCTGTGCAAACATTCCTTCCAGTTCCAGAGGAAGGGAAAATAGCAGCTTGGCAGGATGTCAAAAACTGCTCATRGGTCACTGAAATGCATTTCTTTCCCCCTACATGCATTTTCCCTCCTTATCCATCAAACGTGGCCATCTCTGCAAGAGAAATATTAACATAYTGTATGATCTAGTACCTGACGAAAGAAAAAGAACACACTCAATATTACTGATTTTTTAAAGCATATGCAGACTACATTTTCAAAAATAAAAGCTTTATTTAATGTTAGATACAAAAAAGGGATAAAATGCAGCTACAGCTGTGGATTCACTGCTGCAAAAGAGCAACAGGATTTTTTTATATAATTTAAAAGCTCCCTTGCATCTTATTTTTAAGACTTAACTGGTAAATGCTTTTCTGTTGCTAACTCTGGAGAAATGAACTTCACCTGAATATATATATATATAAAAAAAAAAGCAGTATTTGTAAGAAAAGTCTCACAAATATCTGTTTGGAACTGAAGCAGAGAAAAAAAATTGAAGTTAAAAAAGTTTAAAATTTTAAAAAGTTAAAAAAGTTAAAGCAGAATAGTTGCCTGTATTGAGCTAGTAAAGCTTGGTAAGTGGATTTTTGAGAGAAATAGTTACAAGTGTATAAAACAAATGTTTAAAAATTACTACTATTTATTGTAACTCTCCCTGGCTGCTTGCCAGAATCCAGAATTCTTTATGCAGGCAATTTTATAAACACAAATGAGGCAGAAAAAGGGTAACGTTACCRTTTTAATTTTGTAAATGAAGTAATATACCTGGAGGCTTGAAAACAATATCTGTGACCATATGCTCTCTTTACAGAATTTTAAAAATATATTTGGCATTAAAAGAGCCATCATTTCAAGTCTGATATTTTAGGCACAGCTTTATTAATGCATGAAAAGCTGAAAATGTACCAAACTACCAACAAGACTAAAGATGAACTTTATTCCTCACTCAAGAAAAGGAAAAGCAGAATACTAAAGAAGACAAAAAGGTTTGTCATTTACAGAGATGCTAGGAAAATCCTTCACTAAAATGGTTATTTATTAGAGTGTGATGATTAGCAGAATTCTTGCTAATTGTAATTTAAAATGAGCAAGATGCTGCAGAACAGGTCACTAATGTAACTTTACCTGAGTTTATTTTCCATCTCTTTCACCTCCTGATCACAGGCACTCGACTCCTTCTGTGGACCCTGCTGGTTCATAGGACCAGTTTTCTTGAGAGTTTTTGTCTTGGTTGCTTTTTTAGAGGGGTTAACTTCATCATCACTGAGGAAATCACTTAAACTGGAATCAGATTTCTGAAACAGAAGCAATGCACATAAAGCATGAATATCACTGTCAAGAAAGATATACAATAGTCACAATAAATGAGATTAAAAAAAAAAAACTTGTGGATCATAATTCAAAAACCCACCACTTCCTTTTTCAGGCTTCATGGACAAATAAACTCTAGCTTCTTCCAAACTCAATGCCTAACTTCACAGCCTTTATATGATAATTTTAATAGTATTTGTTTGTAAACAATGTTTTTATAAGTGTCTATAAGATACTTAATGCTTATTACGCCTTATAATATCCAGCCCTCAACTCTTCTTCTTTTTTTTTTTTTTGATGTTAAAAAAAAAACACTTTATTTTCTAGTTTTCCTTCACTCTAGGGATTGCAGATCAAATCTCTTTTGTTGCTACTTACAGGACCCGTATAAAAAAGATCCTCCAGAAGACTCTGGTCGTAGTGGGGATCGTTGAGTTCACTGTCATACACCTCACTCCCAACAGAGAGAGAATCCAGAAGGGAACCTGTCCTATCCCAGAAATGCGCAGGTGATAAGTCAACACTGTGGACACAAGAGAGAAAAGACAAGTACAAAAAAAATACATCATGAATTTTGCAGATGATTTCAGGTAAATTTTGATAATCATGTTTACTCCACGCTGAATTTGTGYTATACTGTCTCATTAGAAAGTTTAGAACTGTGAACACACAGCACTGTACCCAAGCTAATAAACTCTGTGAAGATATCTCTGGATCCTTCATGGGGAAAAAAAGTGTAAATATATAATATATTATATAAATGTATATGTGTATGTGTATATACACATATATTTATATGTGTGTGTGTGTATATATTTTTATATATATATATATATATATATATTTTTTACACATAGAATCACAGAATATTTGAGATTGCAAGGGAACTCTGAAGATCACCTAGTCCAATTTCCCTGCTCTACGCAGGGTCAGTCAGTGCAGGGTGCCCAGGATAAAGTTAAGCCAGGTTTTGAGTAACTCTGAAAATAGAGATTCTGTAAAATCTCTGGGCAATCTGTTCCTGAGCACAATCTGTAAAAAATATCTATTAGTGTCTATCAATTATATCTGTTCACAAATAACCTTACTGAGTTTGGTAACTTTTGATCTATCAGTAATACTTAACATAAGTTTACTTATCACAAAACAAACAGGAAAAAAAAAATCCTACATCTGTGTATATACAAGTATCTTTAACACAAGATTGGAGAGAATATTCCAGTTTGGTCTTTTTGCTTGYTTATTTGTGTGTTTAAAGGGTTTTTTTTGTGTTGTGACTTCAGAACCATTTTGTGACCTGTAACATTTCARTGTTATCTAATAATTAAATATAGGGAAAAAAGTAAGCACGGGAAACCAGACATGAACTGAAATAGCTGTATCTGACACAGAAGTGGTAGCTGTCAYATCCCTGATTTATACAGAGGCAATAAAAATACCACTGGGATTCTTATTACTCTTTACAAAAAGATAGAAGAATGACATTTCTTTATCTGGAGGATTTATTACTACCAGTTTTCTCTAATTTTGACTTAGACTCGGTGAGTTCTTCAAAAAACATCATATTTGTTTTACGTGCTTTGCAGCATCTAAGGACACAACACATAGAGCTCTGAAGTAACTCAAGAAGTCTTATCAAAGGTCATGAGAAGTCCTTCAGAGATCATTATCAGATCACGTAGCTTTAAACTTTCCAGTTTTAGGCATAAAAAAACCACTCCTTCCACCACCATGTGTTGATATAATTTGTCTATATATTTCTAGAAACATGGAGAACACACAGGGTCAGGGAGCACTAAGCAAACAAGGACAAATTTGCAGGAAACCCTTCCTTCTGATACTCACCTGCCCAGCAGTAACTTTATTGCTCTCTCTTCAGAGGTTAGGTCCGATTGTTGACCTGAGACTTCACCTGAGAAAATATCTTCTGTGGCAGACATAAAATTTGAGTTCAAGCTTTTAGGGCTTCTGAGTAACAGTGACAGCAGTAAATAGAGAGGCAAAAGGAAAAACAATTAGTATTTCTGGTATGTTCAAGAGTGAAGAAAACCAACCCTCTTTTTGTTTTCATTTCCATTAGATTTTAATAGATGTATTTTTAATATAAAATAATTTTAAAGGGGCGGAAAGTTTATAGAATTAACATCAACATTCACTACAGTTGCTACAAACCCCACCCCTTATATCATTCAGAAATAAGAATTCAAGGTTTCTCTTGAATAAGAGTACCTTTGTCTTTTAAATTGCAATTGCACTGAAGTGAGAATATTTGAACATTCAAACTAGAATATGCAGAAGTATTTGATTTGTGCCACTAATTACTTCTATTTCTTTGAAAAATCCTTTCTCTGTGACCAAGTAACATTTAATTTACTATGTTCCTTAAGATACTCTTATTCCTTACAAACACTGTAAATATTTCCTTATCAAAAAATTACATACAAAATACAAATAAAACATGAAAAAAAAAGGTCAGTGATTTAAACTAAGGCATACTACATGACGCTTTGGATCAATTTACAAGATGCAAGCTTGTATTCACATGGAAAATTTAACTTCCCATTTGAATAAAAAACCCTAAATACTTGAAGTTTAAGCTTTGGAACGTAAGCTCACTTTCCTCTACGCAAACTCACTTTGGTTTTGCTTGGAAACCATCTGTCTTTATGAAAGGAGGCACTTCATCCAGCTCARTCTCCATGTCTGGGGTAGACTTCATTGCAGAAGCCACCATGGCATCGCGGAGTTTATTGCCTTGATCCAAAAGGGCTGAAAAAGAAGCACAAGGGATAAATCCCAACATTTGGGTGTCATCTAAAAGCCATGTGCACGTGCAGTAAGATTAATTTGTCACTTTAGGACATCTCAATAGCAGTCTAATTTTAAGTTTTCTTGCTGATTAAATAACTCAAAAGGTAACATACAAAAATTTACCCTGCTTTGGTGCTTATTTGAAGCTGGAATATGGAAGAGATGCTGCCTAGGAGTGATGGAAGAGAATTCACTTTCCATCAGAAAATGCCAATGCCATTGCATTTGGAAACCCTTTTGATCCCGATTCAAACACGAGCAATGCCTCTGATGGAAGCACAGCAGATGGATCAACAGGACCAAATTGATATCCAATTTTTATTATCATTTTCTGTTCCAAACAGCATWGCAAGAATGTACAAAGTATCACCCTTTCCTCAACTCTTCAGCCTTTTGCCAGTTGTATCTCTAGGCAGATAGCTAAAATATTATCAGGATGTATTTGATGTGGAATCTAAAGCATGACAAACCTGAAAGCAGGTCTTTTGTAGATGGGTTATGCAGAGACAGCACCTGCATGTTTGTTCTAGCAGGTGCTTCAGGATCAGAGCTTGGGGGAAAGGACACTTGCTGATCTGAAGGCTTCGCTTTGAAATGTTCGTCAGGGAAAATCCAATGGTGGTGAGAAGCAGAGTAAATATCTTTTATGTTTTCAGAATTCTCTTGAAAGAAGAAATGGTCTTTTTCTCTGTTAAACAAAGAAAGGTTATTTCAGTAACACAATTGAACCTCCTTCAAATTCTCCCTAGCCCTGCAGCTGTTCCCCTTATGTACTCATCCCAAAAAGAAATGCAACACGTTACTTTATTGACTCCCTATTTTCTACTCACACCATCAGACAGACAGTTGTGAACAAAAGACTGAAGCACCTCTTGGATCCACTGACACTGCTTAAGCTAAGTCAATGTAGGACACAAATATATTTCAGAAAAGAAACTGTCCCTTAAGCTCATAAGCACCAAAGCTTCGAAATTTCAAATAAAAAGCACAGTCAATAAATCAAGTATTCCAGAATTCATAATTGCATTGGTTAAAAAAAGGCGTAAATGTCAAAATAAATCCAAATTTTATCTCAAGGAAGAGAAAGATACCTGGGAGTTGTGGTTTTGCCGTGGTTAAGAAACTCTTGGCCAGCAGAAGCCACCCCTGTTTGCCTGGGTTGCTGTGATGGAGCAAGAAGCTGGGGCTTGTCGCTCCCCTGGGCAGAAGGGGCGAGATCTAAACTTGCATCTGTGGTTGGGACAGAGCTGCTGGTGTCACACGTTTCGGGCAAGGGTTCTAAAACCAGTGACACCTGAAAGACAGAATGTGAAATCAGGATTTCATTCTTTAAGTGCAATAAATATACTCACTTTTACTCTGCATGCTAGGGAAAGATGTTGCTTTATTTTTTTTTTTAAAGGCATTTTCATATAGTTAAGTTTCATATAGTTAAGCAGAACTTTAAAATTCTCACATATTTACAACTACTTATTTCATATTCCGTGTTTTCAAATCACAGATAACCACCTATGAGCATTAATTATCTAGAGCCAGGGCTGAAAAGCTTCATCATCTTTACTCCAGGTTTCAAGATCTTGTACAATTTTAGCTCAGTGAGGCTCTTAATTAACATTAAAAACACCAGAGTACCCTTAGATTCACTGTTAAAATTCACCCTCCCTCATGATAGAGCCTACAAATTCTCTTAGCCAAGTTAACTACTAGTATAGTATGGCTTCCTAAACAAAATAATCAGCACTGACTGTAATTATTTTTCATTTCCAACCTTTAGTCCATAAATATCTTTGGGGCATAAACCAGATCTGCAGTGCRGCCCCAATATCTGACTACACTGTGAATGTTGCAATGTGATATGATATAATAACTAAGAAAGAGCAAAAAWTTAAGGACTACCTGCAGCTCTCCGATCTTCTTGGATGTTGGCGAAACTATGGCAAAAAATCCACTGATGGGATGGCTGGGAGAGAGCTGGGACAATCCGGTAATTTGTACCGTGCCCACTGGGAGCTGATCGAGTCTGGTCATTACTTCTAGGACCAGCACACCCATATCTGCAAAAAATATGCATTAGTTTAATTGTATTAATCAAGCTCATTAAGTAGCTTCTGACACAACATACTTCAAAGGTTCGATATAGATAAAAAACATAATGAAAACTATTGAGTGAAAAGGAAACGTGGGAAAAAAAAAGTTAATGTATGGCTGTATCACAAAATTATGACATGAGGTAAAGAAGGGTTAAACTTTCATAATGATGATAAATAAGTAGAAGATATCCAGTCTGTTATATGATTGGTGACAGCAAACATAGGTTTTGTGGATATAACTTAGATACCAGGCTACCAGTCAAAAAGAGTGCAGACCTATCAGTAAAGTAGGTATTTTATCAACAGTGCCAAATCACAGGAACACATTTACAGCCTTCACAGCCTCAGAGCACTGAAATCTGTAATATTTMATGCACTGATGATGCTAAAAGTCATCAGTGTGGAGTCTGATGGGGAGACTACTAATAGTCGAGCCCTGAAGCCAGCAAACACCATACAGAGATGGAAAAGAAGAGCTCCAAGCCCCTTCCGTGTGCAGAAATAAAAAAAAATATATATATATAAATAAAAGATATAAAGAGAAGCTGTTTTGGGTAGGTCCAAGGCACGGGGCTCACCTGTGAGGTAGGCAGTGAGCTGCTGGGGCCTGCAGCGGACSGTGTAACGGGCCGTGGCCTCGGCCGCCCCCGGCTGCAGGAGGGCCCCGTCCGAGGTCTCCCCCCACCACCGGAGGCGGACGAGGAGGGCGGCGGGCGGCTTGGGGAGGGCCCAGCGGGCCCGGCCCACGGTGCAGCGGAGGAGGCAGCGCGGCGGGCCCTGCACCAGCGGCGGCAGGCCGGGCAGCGCCTCRCCGGCACCTGCATGAGAGGGGAAAAGAGAGAGATGAGACGGCGGCGGCGACGGGGCCGCGCCAAGGCGCCCGCCCAACCGCCGCCACCTGGGCCCGCCACTTTCCCAGGGAGAAACCGCCGCTTCCCCGGGAGAAACCGCCGCTTCTCCGGGAGAAACCGCCGCTTCTCCGGGAGAAACCGCCGCCTCTCCGGTCGTCTCGCGCCCTGCCGGCTCCCGCCGCCCACCTTTCCTCCTCCGAGCCCCTCCCGCCTTCACGGCGGCCCCCGGCGCCCTCCTCTGCCTCATGGCGCCGCCGCCGCTGCCCAGCAACCGCCGCCTCGGGGCGAGAGGGCGGGCACTTCCGGCGCGAGGACTACACCTCCCGTGATGCCCGGGAGGGCCCTCGCCATTCAGCCCTACGGAGGAGCGCACTACATTTCCCAGCAAGCCGCGCGAGGGCGGCATCCGGTGCTGGCGGCGGCGGACTGCGTTTCCTGTGGTGGCTTCCGGCGGGGCGGAGGAGCCGCGCGGGGGTTGGCGGCGCTGACTGAGGCGGCGCTCGGCGCTGTCGCTGGTGTCGGTTCGGGGGCCGCCGCCGTGTCCTTGAGCGCCGCTCCGCGGCCATGTCGGCCCTGGAGAAGCAGCTGCACCTGGGGCGCCTSCCGCCGCGGCCCCCCATGCCCGGCGGCCAGTCCGGCTCCAAGATGCGCATGGGGTAGGTGGGGGGGTAGGGGGGACAGTCGTTGCTGAGGGGTTTATGGGGTAGAGGGGTCTCGTTGCGGGGGATTGGTCGTTTTGTGGGGGGGATCTGGTCTTTGGAAGGGGCTGTTGGAGGAGCTGGTCGTTGGGAAGGGTTTGGGGGGTTTAACGGGAGTGTTTTTTGTGGGGAGGGCTGGGAGTAGGTGCCCCTTGGAGGGGTTTGGGAAGTGGTCGTTGAGGGGCTGCTCTTTGAGGGGGGCTGCTCGTTGGGAGTTGGGGATTGCTCTTTGGAGGAGCTTTTGGGGAGGGAATTCTCGTTGTGGGGGTTAGGGGGGTACTTGTTGCCCCCAAATACTGCAAGATTTGGGGCAGCTCCTTTCTGTGCTTTTTGGGGGGTAGAAATGAGTCATTTTTGCTGTGAGAAGGCAGCAGAGCGGCCCCTGTTTGATCAGTTTGGGGCCCTCTGTGTGGAGTGGGCTGAATTTGGGGGTTCTCTGCACTGGGGCTGTGCTTAGGGGGGGTTTGGAGGTGCTCATTGCTGGGGGTTTGGGGTGGGGGGCTGCCCAGCGCTGGGGCACGTGAGCCCGGGGCTGCCCCTTGCTCGGAGGAGAGGGAACCTGTTGCTGCAGGAGGGATTTTCGTCCTGCTGGGAAGAAGGGAAGTGCCTGGAAGGTGCTGGGATGGGCTGCGGCCTCCTGATGGGAAATGTGGCGTTTGGAATCAGAGCAGGACTGGGTGTCCTCACAGGATCACAGAATGGTTGAGGTTGGAAGGGACCTCTGGAGATCATCCACTCCAGCCTTCCTGCTCGAGCAGGGACACCCAGAGCACGGAGCACAGAGTGGCATCCAGGTGGGTTTTGAAGACCTCCACAGAAGGAGACTCCACAACCTCCCTGGGCAGCCTGGTCCTCTGGGTCACCTTCTTTTTGAGGCTCTGGAAGCACCGGCTCTGGCTTTCCCCTGCTYATCAGATACATTTCCCTGAGACTAATCAGATAGGTGGTTTCATTATGAAACTTTCTCCATATCTTTCTGTTGAGAGCTCAATAAAGCAAAACATCTTTGCTCACCCAATTTCCCTCTTAGTAGCCCCTTTTTCCAAGTCCTTTTGCCACGTGCGCCTGAAGGAAGGAAGGTGTTTTTTCACTTGGGATGGTCCAGCACCGAATAAACAGATGTCAAGCCTTTTTAGGCAGGAGTGAGACCATCTTTGGGAAGCTGTGGGCAAGAAGGTTGATTGGAAGGTTGGCAGATAAGTTCAGCTGTGTTTGAGAGGAAATAAAGAGGACTGGGACAAGAACCACCTTGGCAAAAGCTTTCCCAAAGAAAAGGGGAGAAAATCTCATGCTCTGCRTTCAGTGTCTGCCAGCTCCAGGTGTGCTTTGCACTACTGCTGGTGATACAAAATGCTCTATTTAGAAGATAAAAATATCCTGCAATTCCTACAGGAAATCTCCTTTGCCCTGATGCATGAAAGCAGATAACTAAGAGAAATACTGGAAAAGACAACYACTCTACTGTGCCTGAAATAAATTGTTTAGATATGTTGTGGATACTTTAAAATTTTCCTTTGCAGTCAAWGTTCAAAACTCTTTGGATAGATGCAATGTAACTGATATAGTTAGCATATAGAATAATGTTATCAGATCTTTGTCACTTTTTAATGAGAGTTCACTTTAAAACCAAGCTTCCTTTACATGTTTAATGGCACGGCTTTAAGTCTAAGCCAAAATCTCGTATTTAAGGATTTGATTTGTACTGTGGATTTCATTTGTACTGTTAGTGAAAGCATAGAAATGAGAAATAAGTGATTTTGAATGACTTCTGTAGATTTTTTTTCTGTCAGGAATACTGGGCTCCGTTTCCTGATCCTGTGCTGAACCTTATTATTGTGAGCAAGTCACTAACCCATAAGCTTTCCTACACAGTTGTGCTTTTTTTATGCAAGATTCAATGTGTTTTACACTGGTTTTGTACCCTAAATTCAGGCAAACTATCTAATTCTCCCCATAAAGCAGTGCCTACACCTGTGGCAATATAAATACCATGTCACGTTGTTCCTTTGACTACAGATGTTGCCACAATTTAATAATAAATTTAAAAACTTACAACGTTGATGTCAAGGTGACCTTAAAGAGGATGGAAATCAGTTTGCAGGTTGTCTCACCACTGGTGTCAGCTGCTCTTGGGTGTTTCCTGAAGGCAGGAGTCTCCACGGAGGTGAGGACTGGAATATCAAAAGAGAAGTTCTTGCAGCATCATTTGATGTGCAAAAATCTCCAAATCAGTAAGCTAAAGAGCTCCTGTTATTTTAATGTTAGGTTTTTTTTTTTTCTTTTCACCCTTAGGCTCATAATTCTCTATTTTCTTGCAAAATGTTACTGTGCTGTGGGTACGTTCTCCACGTCAGCGTAGCAGTCTGTGAAAATCCATTCTTTTGATAATCCATTCTTTTGATAGCACAAGTAAATTAGACGAAAGCCTATGGACCATTAACTTCATGAGGTGCTGACAAAGCCCCCATGATGCTGCTTCCTTCACTTCTTCATCCCAGGTGAACTGTTACATTCATGTAAAATACCTTTTAATTGGTAGGAAATGTGCTGTTGTGCTTAAGGATGAGGAATTCCAGTGTCCTTTCCCTTAGGAGGTGATAATCAGGCTGTCGTTGCACGCTGCAGTTGTTTTTTTCTTCAATTTCCTGCAAACACCTCAAGTTCTCTCTCTCTCTCTCTCTATGGAAGTTGTTCCCGCTGTTTTACGCCCTGCATGTCCAACTCAAGCGACCTCTTCCTAAACAGTAAAATTGTTTCATAGATTTCTGACATTTCTGGATGTCAATCTTCCAGCCCCTTGCTTATCAGCTTCATTAGTCCATTGACTAAATTCCTTATCCTTGAACCTTTTTTTCTTTCCGAAACTCTCTCTTTCCTGCTGATCTTAAAGGGCTCAGCTTTGCTTTTGGATGGCAGTACCCAAAACTGGACATCAAACTTCAGCAGAAGTTCATTCTTCACACAATTTCTCTGTGTCTTTAATGCTAAATTCATCCATACAACAGAGGTGATTTTTCTTTTTTTTTTCCCCTTTTTTTGGGCATGATTCTGTTCTTCCTTCCCCCCCAAGTTGTTTTCTGCAGTTCAGCAGTGACCGCTCGCCTCCTGTGCGTGTTTGTGTCGATTATCCACATCCAAGCTGGGATTACAGCTACCTTGGGAAGATGCAGTTTGCTCCACAGTGGGCAGGTGAAAGCAGCTCCTGAGAAGCCCAAGGTGGAGCAGGGAACGTTGCTCTGGGCAAACAGAGAAATAATTTACTGCAACACTTGAAATTTCTCGAGCTCCAGTTGCCCTGGGCTGGAAAGGCAGCGTGGAGTGACAGGACAACCCCAGTGAGGCAGTAAGCGTCCCAAATCCTAGATTCAAGCATAAAGCTGGTATTAATATTTAAATGAAACCCGGAGAGCTGAATGGCTAAAATGGCTGCTGCAACATAGTTTTAACAGCCTCTTACAAGATGTACGCTGAATTTCTTCGTATTTCACAGTGCTCTGCATTGATTTCTGCTACCTGGCGGCCCCTAAATTACGACCCTGTTGTCTGCAGCCTTGCACGTGTGCTCTTCCAGAAATGCCCTCTCTTGCCAGCGTAGCACTCACTGCCTCTATTTGTGTTTAAGTGCTCTCTGCCTGAATTGCTCCACTGAAGAGAGCAATGTTGTTTAAATCTCCTTTTTTCCCCTTTTTTGAAGGGAATTGGTGCATCTTTTTGGCTCATGCTGCACACGAACATCACACAAGGGAGAGGAACTCCAATAAAAAAAAAAAAAAAAAAGGACACGTAAAATGAGCTTTTAAGGAGCAAATCTGTCCACAGTTGCCTTTGAAATGTACCACGGTCGCTGAGGCCTTCCCTCAGTTTCAAGGGAAATAAAATCAAACTTTATGGCCAGAATTCTCCAAGCAAATCAAATAATGGGGTTTACAAAGCTGCTGGTGTGACCAGTAAAGACCAAGAGCTATGGAAACAGCTCCTGACAGCTGGAACAGCTTGTGTGTGCAGACCTTTGTATTTATACTTTAGTTTTTTTGCTAGTTTGCTTATAGACCTAGGTTATTCAGGCTTGAGAATCCAAATTGGAGGTGAAAATGAGGAAGAATTTCCATTTATGTTCTAATCTATGAATAAAAATGGTGTGTGTGATGGTCCCAAGACCTCGTTATGTGAAAGACGATGATCAGATCTCATCCGTTTAATTCCATAATGACAACGACTCTCTTCTTATTCATTCCCCAAACATTTTTATAAAGAAACAAATTATATCTTCAGTGTATTGAAGGCAAACTTAGAGAAAAAATTTTGTCAATATTTAGACTTYTAAAATGCAACTTGCCAGGCACGACGGTTCTCACATATTAGCTTATATTTGATGTGCCTTGGTGTAGCTCAAATAGAGCCTGAGAATTAACCCTCTTGACTCTCATATATTCAGTCCTATAATTGCTTAAATAGCTGTAAATGTATTTGCTAGGTCATCAGGGAAAAAAATATGCCTAGAAATGGTTTTCAGTGTTTGCTACAACTTTCCTTTAAGGGAATAACTGGAAGAAAGGCCCTTTACAAACCAGTGAGCAAAAGAGGCTCCTAAATCCATCCGCGAAGGCTCCTGTTGCTCCATTGCAGCTTGTGCATGTTTATATTACGTGCTGGAGAGAACAAGCTGCGCAAAATGATAAAATCAGCTGCAGAGAATGTCCAGAATTTATTTAGGAATTCTGCTACCGTAGTTGGCTGGATTTGAGCTGAAAAACGTGGCTCGGTTGGATCCGGTTCTGTTTTGGTCTGCTGGATGCTTCCAAAAGGCAGCGATTAGCCCCGTCCATTTAAATATTTGCTCTGCAGAATGTGGCTTCAGCAAAGGAAGGTGCAAAATCACAGCTGCTCTTGGCTGGCTTCATGTCTCCATTTCAATATGTGCTGATGTATCGCTGGGGAAAAAGAACCTTTAGAATAATAATAATTTTAAGATGCTATTTTTTTTCCTCTTTAGAAAAAGGCCAATTTGTGCTGTAGTGCTTTAATTTTAGCACTGTGATTGCCTTATGTGGTTCAGACACTGGTATTTTTTTAAATCAGCTGTTTTGTGGAAAATAGTGTGGTGGTTCTTGCCCTGTTAGGGGGTGGTTATGAAATCGGAGGTCTTGGACACTCCCGGATATTGCTTGGAACAAGTATTTTGCTTTGAGTTGTAGTCTGTAAATATTTGCATCAGAGGTGACAACGGTTTTTAATTCCCAGGTCGTCTTCACTTTCTGCTCTAATTCCCCTGCAAACACAGGAGTTTCTAGTAGTTCTCCCATATTCCGTATATCTGACGCAGAACTGCTAGTGTTCCTTCTGGAGCTGTTACCTCTTAATAAGCTGGATTTTTGAGGAATTTATTAATACTTCTATCTCAGAGTGCCACGTTGCCAGGGGAGGGCTCGGGGCAGATCCCATGGGTTCCAAGCGCTCTGCTCTTCCCTGTTCTTCCTCAGGAATCTCCTTTCAGCCCCTYACCTCCTGGCTTTGTTTTTAAACAGATCAGACTCCATCAAGTCATTTCTGTTTTCCAGCCTCCAGAAGATTCTCCCAATCTTTTCCAGTTGCCTCCTTGGAGAGATTTAGAGGGTGTTGCCACTTGTGACAGGAGGTTGTTGGAGCCAAAGAAGACCCTCACTGACAACTGGAGCAGCTCCAGTTCCTCCTCGCTGTCACATGGGCTCATAACATTAGTGTGCAAGTGTGAAGACTCATCCTCTCATTRCTAGCTAGCTATCTGCTAGGAAACAAGGCCTTAGGAACAAACCTTCTGCTCTCCTGGCAAGAGAGATCCCTGGTAAATTCCTGCTGTTTGCCAGATTTTGGGATTATCTRTGTGAAAGGATACAATTAGAGGGATGGTATTTGCTGATCAAGTGGATTTATTCAGGACGCTCAACCCAAACCCTAGCTATAACAGGCTGAAAAAATGTCGTAGGGCTGAAATGCAGCATTTGAAAAGGCCGATGGATTTGGTGTCATTAACTGCACATCTGAACTACATCACTCACAAAATAGATGTTTTTGGAATAATGTAGTTTTTTAAAACATAGGGCTGACTGCARTCAGGTAATAGATTGTAGTAAGTAATTTTTCTAAGTCTAGGGAATAGAAAWTCATCCACGTTGTGGGCAGTTTTTCTCTCCATCTCCAGGAAGACCCGGGAATGGTGCAAAGTGGGACATGGACAGGACACAGGCAAGMAAATAGGATTTTTGGCCTGAAAAGTGTGTGACAAGGATAGTGTGTTGGAGAATGATGCAGTCTTTAATATTACAAAGAATAGGCAGTCATTATCATTTGGTGGGCTTGAAAGCAAACAGGAATACTCCTTTTTGCTCAAAACATAACTAAGTTGTGGCATTTGCCATGAAAGTTGTGGCACAGATGCCATGAAAGGAGCTCTGGCTGGAGCTGACTTGTGTTTTACATGGATGGTAAACGGGAATTACCCTCCGTTAGGGAAACATGATGCTGGGGATGCAGAAGATGCCCCGCCTGGAGACAGCAAGAAGGTCTCTTGTACGTTGGCACCTACATGTGGCCACATGGAGCTGGTACCTTGAGGTGACAGAGCTGCAGGGACCTTTGCTGTGTCTCCCTGTGGCAGCTCCTGTTGTCCTAGAAGRCAACACAATCATCATCATGAAGCTTTATCAACAATATGAGTTTGCTGGAATTCCCAACAAGTTTGGGCTTGTCCAAATTGGTATTTTGGGGATCCTCATCTGCAGTGGGAGTGCTTGATTTTCCCCCATCAGGATGTTACTTAAATGTCTTGGCAAATGTCATCTTGAATACTGGACACCTATGCAGCTCCTTCGAGAGATGAAGATTTGAGTGATAAATATATTTTTTCATCCGTTCAAAAAGATTAATCTGAGGGAGTGGAATTGATTCATACTTTTCGGGATACATCTCATTTAAYTGAAGCTTGACAAGAACAATACTGAAGTCTGGAGCCCCTCGAGGTGGATTTGGCACATTCAGGGGGTGGATGTTTTATGCTTCCTACTCTAGAAGTGTCAAGCGGGGTGGGGATAGTTTTATTTCTACCAAATTGAAAAGCTACTTGTTTATTTGYTTGTTTATTTGTTTAAGGAAGCAGAAAAACCTGGAGAAACCTCTTCCGTGGAGCAGGTTTCTTCTGCAAAGGTCTTGCACCCTGCACCCCCATGGCTGCTTTGGATGCTCYGAGCCTCCCCCACAGGAATTCAAGTGCAAAAAAAGCCTCTTAAAACGGGGCACTGTTCCTCATGCCACTAGTCTGATTATGGCACTGCCAAAATTAAGCATTATCCTTTTAGCATCCCCCCCCTTCCCAGTGAATATAGGCTTGGGAAACAGATTTGGCATCAACTGAGTCATCAGGAACATTGTGATTGCAGAAGCCTCCCATTAGCAATGGGAGTGGGAAGAGAGGGCCCAGCTGCACGTTTTGATTGGAGGGTTTTTTTTTTTTTTAATATATTGGTTTATCAGCCAGGCACTTTTGAAAGTCCTGGATTATGTAATGTCCAGTCTTCTACATTCACCCATTATTTTGGGGGGGAATTTTGTGTTCCCTAAGGTGCTAGATACAGCTAGAAATGAGCCTCAGAGGACGGGCTAATTTAAGGCATGGTTGGATGCAGGAGCTGCTGTGATGTCAGGAGGCTGCAGCCCRGCTTGGGAAAGAGGGAATGAGGCTCCCTGCAGCTGAGGAATGATTCATGCTTTGCAAATGTGCTCCTGGGAAAATCAGGCCTGGTCTTACTGCCTCCACTCGGGAATTATTCCCTGGATGTGCAAAGCACTGATAGGAAGGCGCCGGCTTATTCCAAGGGATGCTGTACCTGTTACCTGCRGAAACCTGGATTCCTTAGGTAGGAGAGGATAAGGATAAGCCAGGGAGCTGTAGTCCGTGGCCATTASATTTATTTGAGGCAATGGAGATGTGGAAACCTAGGATGAAATTGCTTAATCCTCTCCTTTTCCCTTGTCCTACCAGTGTCCTACAGAGTTCTAATACTAGAACTTGTTTACAAACAAGTCCAAGTTTTAATCATTGCAGTGGATTCCAGGACACCTGAGCTGTAATTACAACTTAGCGCCATTAACTTCAAATGTGACACATTTAATTTATTCTGCTTCCCCTGATGTTTCCAAGCAGGGACCCTCAGGAAACTTCCATTTAATTTTCTCTGCCTGGTTTCTCTATCAACCACCCCATGACGGGCAATTTGTTTATCTTTGGGGGTGATAACTCTTACAGAAATTAGCTACCTTTAAAAGAGGGAATTGCTAGGAAAGCTGTAATCTCAAAAATCCTAATTCCTGGGCGTTTTTCCCCCATAAGATGCTGAATTTCTTATATCCTCTTCTACATTAGTAGTAACCTTCAGGAAATAGCTGACGCTTTGCTTTGCAAGCGTGWGGTGTCAAGGTGACTTGGGAGAGGGATGTATTTTATTTGAGTTGTGATTCATGGGCTGACTCAGGAATTCAGGATGAGTTCCTGCATTCCAGGCATGGAAATGCTGCCGGTTGTGCTGACTTTAAGAATAGTCTAGGGCTAGTAAATAAAAAGATTCCAGCTCTGGGTTTGTGGCCTTTGTGTGATTCACAAATCGGCGAGTTGGAGGGTTTTATTGGGGATTTTGTTGGAGCAATTTTGTAGCACTGCATACAGTGACCACCATGCGTCCATTCAAATGAAAGACTTTAAAATACCTCTATTTTATTGCAACCTTCTTGTCTTGCAGCCCGGGAAGAAAGCGTGATTTTTCACCCGTGCTTTGGAGCCAATATTTTGAAGCTATGGAAGATGTTGTGGTAGAAAACGAAACCGGCAAGGATATATCCTTTTATTTGATTGATTTATTTTTAAATTCAGATTGAATTACCTTGTTCTGTCCTTCCCCATTTTTTTCTTCTCATGGACGAGCTTCAGTGAACAAAGCTGTAGCTGCTGAGCCGACCCTTAAGATGCCATAGGAGGTAACGAGGCCTGGGAAGGGTGATTCCCGTCACTGCTTTATTTACTAAATATAATTTTGAGCAAATGCTTCCAAGAGCAGAATAGGACAGGGAAAAAAAATCTGTAGTTCATGTTGCTTAAACCAAATGAAGCCCATGGATCGTGGGTGGAGAACCAGAATGGAGTTTGTGGCTYGCTCAGTCATGTCTCTCTGTGTGAACTTTGCTAAACAGCTTCGTCCCTCACTTTTAATTCCCTGAGTTCCATAAATGCCTCCAAAGCTTTTCCTGGAGCGCGTTGCAGACATGCAAAGAAGCAGTTGTAAAAACTCCTGCCATGCTCGACTGCCAAGTGGAGCAGTTTTTCCTATTCAAATTGCACAACCTTGTCGTTTACAGAGCTGCATGGTTTCAAGCCTGCGWATCCTAGCTTGGCCATTAAGAAAAGCACATTTCAAACTGTTTCTGTAGCCAGATTTTGGTGTATTCATTATTTTTCCGATGCCAATAGCATGCCCTGCTTTAAAATGAGCAAAATCCTCTCACCTGGTTGTTTTGCTCAGCTTCTCATTATTTTCTGCTCTCAATAACTGTGCTTGTCGAATTGATCCTGTGAATTTTTCAGGATTTGCACCTTGTCTGACCTTGTAACCTGTCATACACCCCCACGAGGCTTCATAAATAATGACATAAAAAGCATAAAGGGGCTTTTTGGGATAGTCTTCCCAGCTTGAATAGTTGGATTCAGGGGCAGATGGATGAAAAGAGACTCCGTTTTCTGACGAGATTATCAGATTATAGGTGAAGCTCTCCAAGAACACAAGGAGAACAGGGGAGCAGAGGATAACCTGTGGAACATGAACACAATACCATGACTCCTTGTTCTTTGCCTTCCCCTTAGTGACACTTTAGTGATAGTTTAACTCAATTTTCCATGTCCCTATCCTGTGAGGCAACATCATGCACCTTAGTCAAGCATCTTACCCTAGAAAATAATTGTATCGTCCTGAAAGATCTTGGTTTCAGGTTTGTCTGATATGTTTTATTGGATGTGAAAGGAAAACACTTGTGAATCAAAATTGTGTAATTTAAAGTGTGTGCTCCAACTGTGTTGATTTTTCTCTTGGTCATTGGATTCCCTTTTGTGCCCCAATTAAAAAAGCTGCAGGCAGATGATGAACAGGAGGAGGGGGAGACCTGGGTGGCAGGAAGATGAACTCGTGAAGCTAAAAGACGTTAAGTTCTGCTTAGGTTGTGTATCCTGCTTGATTAGAGGCAGAAACGAGGCCTTTAGGCAAGAGCAGAGCATGTCAGGGACTCCAGAATACRTGAAACTCAGCTCATTTCAGATTAACTTTGAGATGTCCTTAACTGTTCATACACTTTTCGAATTTACAAAAGCGGATCGGAGGGGCCTGTCTTGCTGCTGTTACATGGGGGAGGCCATTCTGCTCTTTCCTGGGCTGTGTTTACTGTAAGTAAGCTGCTGATTTACAGATTCTTGTGCTGACATATAACCTGTAAAGCATCTAAAACAAATAATCACTCAACCCCACTAAGCAGGGGTAAAAAAGAGCCAGTTCAGAAGGCTCTGTGTCTAATTTCCTGCTGCCCACCTGACTCAAATCCACATATTTCACTCTCAGTGCGTATGTTGAATAGGCAAAGCACATCCAAAGGTTTATTATCTAGGCTTTAATTAGCAACAGCATCCACAACTACATCTGCCACATCCTTTTTTTTTGCTTTAACGACGTGCCACGACGTTGCTCATCACAGTATATCCTTATTTTTGCCCACCTACTTTGCCAAGGCTCCTGGTGAAGGGTCAGTGTCTCCAGCTCATCACAGCAGCATCATTCCCTGTTTGGGCTCTTCTTTGACCAGCCCAGAGATCTTGTTTGCTGCTTAAGCAGCTCCCAAAAGCATGAAGGGATGTGGGGTCAATGGGAATGAGTGGACTGACTAAACACTCCCCTGCTTCAGAAAAATAAAAAGGAGGGAGTGAAGGAAGAAAATGGTATTAGGGGATTGCAAGTAAAATAAAAGCACTTGCAGAAAGTGCTGTAATTTTGGTACTGAATTGTTAGTTAGAGTTAGGTTAATTAGTGCGTGTAGCTTGGCTTACCCAGAAACAGATGCAGGGCTCCTGGGAGTGGTGGAGCTTGTCTTAGGTGTCTGTCTTTCTTAATTCTGCCGTTAATTGCTCGTAGATCATTAGTGGTCAAAATGGAGGGATCCTTTTTCCTCTGCTAGCGTTGTATTTATCGTTACAGCTTATTTAATGCCCAAAATAGCTGTAGGAAAGGTCACTGCTTTTAATTAGACAGACGAGCGCATAGAGTCACGTTCCCCTGCGTTAAATAATGAGTTTTTTGCCAGACCCTCCCACCTTCTCTAGAAATCTAATCCTAAGAGCAAATACTGGTTTTACACTTCAACATCTGGACCTAATTAACTGACTATGAAGTGACTGCAGTTATAACACGAGCCCTCACAGGTACTGCCTTTTTATGCTGCCATAAATTAGCAAAGTTAAATCCTGTATGAGATTCCTGTATGAGATTCACCTGGATTGGTGCCTTGCACCTGACTCTGCCTGTGGAGAAAACAACAGCATTTAGCCCATCTCTTTATGTAGSTGGTGTCAAATTATTTCTTGTGGCTGCTTTGAAATGCAAGTTTATCCCAAGCACTCGAGTGGCAGAGGCTTGGAATGAATCAGAGCTTTAAAAATATATAACCTCAAATGGGAAAACGTTGAGAATAAGCTTCTAAAAATACAAAAATGGCCCAGGGGAGCAGGATACTTCTTTCTCTTTTTGCCTTCTGCCTTGGCAGCTCCCTGCATGATGTCCTGTGCTTCTCTGGGCCGAAGGAGTTGGGTTTGGGTGAAGCTCAGGGCACTGGAAACCTTCCCCTTCCGTCACATCGTGTTGCTGATTCTCTTTCCTTCCTCTCCTCCATGCCCAAAATACCCCAAATTACACAGATAAAGGATGGACCTCGTGCCATCCAGGTTCAGCTGCTCTGTTGGCGGGGGAGGTTCTTGTTTGACACCTTGAGGGCAGCCTTGGTGTCACTAGCCCTTGTGTAGCCACGTGTGTCACCTTGCAAATTAATTCTGTTGGTCTCTTCTTGCAGTCTGCCATCATTAACAGGATTCAGTGCAGGATTGTGGCTTTAGATCTCCGAGGCCATGGTGAGTAATAAAAGTTAATATGGTAAGTAATAAATTTTAATATCATATAAGTACATTTATACGCACACACATAAAAATATATGTTTTTTTATATATAGGATAATATATAGAGAGGATATATATAAGATATATATAAACATAATATATATGTATATATTTGCAGTTGAGTACAAGGAAGTATAATCAATCTCTCCCCAAAATGGCTCATTTCAGAGGCTACAAAATCAAATCATGGATGGAAAAGTGGTTTCTAGATATCCACAACCATCAAACTTCACCTCAGAAAAGCAGGGACTCCTTGTACTTTTGCATGAGGCCATGGGCTTCATCCTTCCTAAACATGTGCAGCAACCTCTCCTTCCTATTTTCAGTCTATAGGCARCCTTTACCATAGAAATAGGGGTGCTGCTTAGATTTGAAATACATTGCAAATGTGGAATGGACCCAGGGAGTCTTTCTTGCGCCCAGGTTATAATATAGAATAGTATCAACTGCTTCCRTAATTCTGGTTGTCTTCATTATTCACATTAACAGAAGTAGGTTCTACCTTAGTGGCTTAGTGCCAGGTCCAAGTCTGAGGGCTCTGATGGTTCTCAGCTGCATTATGTGAACGTAACTTTTCTTTTTCSTTTTTAGGAGAGACCAAAGTTAGGAATCCTGAAGATCTTTCTGCAGAAACTATGTCAAAGTAAGGAAAATTGTGCTTTTCTCCTCGATATTTCTCTGTTCACAAATCTTTGCTTTGTTTTCTTGACTGAATTAGTGTGTTCTTCGTGACTGAAATATTGGGAAGTGAGGGACCTCGTGTGAGCAGATGGGACAGGTTTCATTTCTGTATCAGTTGGGAATGCTTTGAAATTTTTCTCGGAATTATGTCTTCACACAGCAAGTCCAGACTGCTTCTGTAGATGCCCTCAAGCCTAAACCCAGTTTAAAAATCAGTAGTTTTGTTGCCCTAAACACTTCAAACTAGCAACACTCTAAAACACGTCCTAGAAATTTTCTAGTAGGCGGAAAAGGCTTCCTCAGACATAACCGACTTGGACGTTTTGACTTGAAATCCCCAAATTTGGCTCTTCTTTTGCTCCTTGAGTGCACATGGAGAGTGCCCTCACCTTGATGGGGGCAATCCCCAAAACAGGGGTCACAGATGGAGACTTGCAGGCCTGTGGAGAGCTGCCTTTTGGGCCCGTAATGATCTGCTTTGGGAGGCAAATCCCCCTCTYGACAAGCAAAGCAAACACACACTGCTAATCCCATCAGATCATGCCCACGTTTAGCACAAAGAGACCCTCTCCTGGGAACAGTCGAGTCATGAAGGACTCTGTAACCTTCCTAGGAACAAATCCACTGGGTTTGTTGTGGGGAGGCCATGTGTGAAATGAATTCTGACTTCCATTCTATCCCTTATTGCTCGTGCCTGCAGCCTGGCGGCCCCTCATGTGCCCATGTCCTGAGGAGAAACCCTGTGAAATAATTAGGGGGCTTTCTTCTTTTCAAGATCTGGAGCAGTGCTAACGGGGGAAAACAAGTTGCCTTTTGTTTTTAAACTGGCCTGTGCTCTGAGCAAAGAGCCTCAGACTTACTCCCAATCAGCCTTTATACTAGAGCGTTGAATTATGGCTATTTTTGAGGTTTTTTTTTTATTAAATCTTCGTGTAATTTTCTCTTTGGCAGAGCAAACAAGCAGGTCAGCATTCCTTTTGGCTTCTTTGCCACTTACTAGATGCAGTATTGCTCATATTTCCAGCTCCTGTGACTTTATTTCTGTCAAGAAAGTCAATTTTGATGCTTTTGAGTCTCTCTCAAACTACTGTTGACCTCAGTAGGGTTCAGGCCTTAGTTCTGCTGTTATTTGGGTTATTTTTGTGAGGCAACATTCACATTTCACAGCGACAACTTGAGTACAAGGACCTGGAGGTAGGTGCCTTGTGGAAAATCCCTGGAAAATGCCCCTTGCCCCATAGCAGCTGCACTTTAGAGAGGCCAAATCTTTGTGAGCCCGACTCGGATCTGTGTTTTTCTCCTCGCATCTTGCAAATCCACTCGGACAGGGACGTCGGTGACGTGGTCGAGGCTCTATATGGGGACCTGCCGCCGCCGGTCATGCTCATCGGGCACAGCATGGGGGGAGCGATCGCGGTGCACACGGCCGCCGCCAATCTCGTGCCGAGTTTGCTGGGTCTCTGCATGATCGATGTGGTGGAAGGTAAGCGCAGGGCCCTGCGACCCTCTTCTATAATGATCCTTCTTGGTCCTCCCAAACATATTTCCCCTTGGTAGTTAAAACAGCGCCAGTTCCCTCCTCTTAATAGATGTTCCATGTGTAAAATAGTCTTCCTGCTGTGATCTCTCCTTTTGTTTTTCCCAGGTGGGCTCTCCTATTTGGGTTTTTTTCCATGTTTTTTGAATAGTATGTGATGCTGATGAGTGTYTGCTGATATATATATWTTTTAATTATCTGAATATTCTATTAGTTCAAATATTAATCCCCTACGATAGGGGCAAGTATAACTAGAAGGCTTAGGGCAGTGCTCAACTGTCTTAAATYCCCAGTTGAGCTCCRGCTGTGTCTTGGGTTATTCCTTGAWAGCCAGTCCCATTTAAACTGACAAGCCAATTTATTAGATGCCRTAAAGTGGAAATATTCATTATTATTCTTGATTTCTTTAGGGACAGCCATGGATGCTTTGAACAGCATGCAGAACTTCCTAAGGAGTCGTCCCAAAACATTCAAGTCGCTTGAGAATGCAATTGAGTGGAGGTAACACAGGAGCTTCGGTGCTCCCTAGGCCTTTTTAGCTTGACTCTTGGAGGAAACAAGGTTTATATGATTTGTGTCTGTCCTCTCCCTGCTCGCTTCCCCAATTAGCATCAGAGGTCTCACGGATAATTAATTTTCTGGGAGAGCTGGCTAGGGAATGSAGAATGATCYGCCGAGAGCAGGTTTTGCTGGTGTRAGTGCAAATATCACAGYTCTTTGGATCATTTCGTGGTTCTTTTGCATCTACACAAAGTGGAACTTGGGAGTTCCCATGCAGCAAGACTTGYTAACACCTTGAGCAGCTCAATTTGAAAAGAAAGGGCTTTTCTGGTTCCATTTGCAGATTGGAGAGCAGAAAGCTGGTTCTGTTCCTAAAAACCAACATAGTTTCTCCCCTCTTGCTGCCTCCACAAAGAAGTGGGTCTCACTATTTTGCCTTCTCCCCATCAACATTTCTCCCTTGTAAGGAAATAAGCAACTCGCAGTGACTTGGAGTGTTCAAACAGTGATGTAGCTCGAGCCTCATGTCTGTATTCAGAGTAACTTCCACACACAGATAATTTGGGGATGGTTTGGGTAAATTGTGATCTGTAAAGGGCTTTTTGCTCCTATTTCTAGCCTTGCTGGTTACTTRGGAACACGCCTATTTGACTTCTGTTTTATAACTATTTCTGCCTTTCTTCATTTTTTGTTCCAGTGTAAAGAGTGGACAAATCAGAAATCTTGAATCTGCGAGAGTTTCTATGGTCGGTCAAGTCAAAGAGTAGGTTGTTTTTTTATTTTGAGCTGTTCTTCCATCTTCTTGTGTTTTTTTTAAAGTATGATGAAACATGAATATGGCAAAACAYGGATGTGCTTGAAAGTGACAACTTCTTTAAGCAAATCCAAATGTGATGCCATTTGATCCCAACCAATGTCCCCAATGGCACTGGGTCCAGTCATGGCACTCGGAGAAAACCCAGCCATATTTTTCTTCTTTTACCAAAGAGCCATATTTTAAAAAAWTACCTGCTGTTGGTTGTGTTCCTTAGTTTGGCTGCTCTTTTGTGTGCATTAAGGAAACAAATATTCAGAAATGTTGGCTTTCTGGCTATAATATCTTTCATTTATGAGGGATTGCTTAATTTATCTGTTTTAAGAGTGGCCCAGGAGGGGTTGTGGGAGGAAGCTGTGGCTTTTTTCACCTCCTTCTCTTCTCAGTAGCCACTCATATTTGCCCTGGGCTGCGTTTGCTCCGTGGTCACTCAGTGCTGTGTCTTGACCTGTCCCCATCTTCAATGGGGGACAGGACAGGGGGGCAGCCACTTGTGCTCTTAGAGAGGGATTTTTTTCTGAGCCAATGTCAGAGAAACTGCTGTTGGCTCAAGGTTAAAACACACTTGTGTTTTGGGAAGGAATCATTTTCTGGTTTTATTTTCACAGGTGTGAAGGGGCTGCCAGTCCTGAGGGTCCTAAAGCCATAGTGGAGGGCATTATTGAAGAGGAAGAGGAGGAGGAAGAGGACGACGAAGGGGGAGGCTCTGTCAACAAAAGGAAGAAAGAAGATGACACAGAGGTAGGGAATTTCTTGCTGTGTTTTCAACACATTTGTGTCTTTCCACAGAGCTCCCCTACCAGAAAACCAGCTAGCAGTTGGTTCATATCATATCAGTGTAAATACCAGGTCCAACGACTTAAAACTTTAAGCTGGGCCTCCTATTTTCTTCCCAGTCCCTCTCTGCTGATTCCATCTTGACCAAGTGTGTGTTAGTGTGTGTGTTTAGCTATGTTTTTTCAGATATTTATTGCTGTAATGGGCTGAAACGGGGCTTCTGTGCTGAGCAAAGAATGCCCTTTTCTGAGCTTGCCGCTGGTTTTGCTCGTTAGTGAGACTTATTAGCACACAGGAGGTCACACAGCCCCTTGAAGCCTAGTCCGAAATCCTCCAGGGCAGCAGTTGTAGCCAACTTGGCACCTTGTGTTTCTGTGTCATCCAGGCCTTGCAGAGAGCCAGGTCTGGAAGCTCCTGCATGGCCAGAAAACTCCGTGCTAGTAAAAGGAGGCAAACGGAGAGCGCTGAAAACTGCAGGGCTGGTTTGTGCTGCCTTTTCGTGCTCCCCACTCTAGCTGCGACTTGGAGAGAAATTTAAGAGCAAGAGGAATAGTCTGTTGGTACAAGCCACCAGAGGGAGTCCATATTTCTCCATAGGCTCTTTCAAGTTGCACCACAAGCTCCTTTGGCTTGAGCTGTTCCCCTCATGGCTACTCCGAGCCCTTTCTCCTCCCTGCAGACCAAGAAGGAGCACCTGTACACGTGGCGAATTGAGCTGGCCAAAACAGAGAAGTACTGGGACGGCTGGTTCCGGGGCTTATCCAACCTCTTCCTCAGCTGCCCCACTCCCAAGCTGCTGCTTTTAGCTGGTAGGTGTCTCTTCAGTTTAAAGTTCAGTGTCTTTTCACCTCRCTTTAGAGAGTAGGGTTACTGTTTGGCTGCTGTTTTGTTCCCACACGTGCAGATTTTCTCTCCTCATTTTTCAGGCCTCCTTCTCTCATACAGGTCTCATTCTCTCTTCTATCCTCATTTTTTTCCCCATTTTTTTCCTGCATAGCATCTTGAATTGCCATAAGCCACTTCATTTAGTTTTCCCTGCAGATCTGTAAGGAGATCAGAGCCTCCAGTCTCAAACTAGCATGTAGCCACATGCTGCCTTTTGCTGCCATTGGGCAGGTATTTTTATTTTTGCTCTGTGACTGAGATGATGCTGGATAAACGGGGTCCCTTCAAACTACCCCTCAGCCCCTCCTGCTCTGATCTTTTCCTACAAGTGAGGCCTGTATTTAAGCCTACACCTAAAAGTCAAAATTTTCAGTGTTTTGCAGCCACTTTTGGGCCCTTTTTGTGCCCTGAGATGAAAGTCAGAGCTTAGCTAAGCTGGGCCCCCTTTTCAGTTGCAGGGAAGGGTCTGTTTTCACGTTTTTGACTAGGATCTTTCCTGTCACTTCACTCCCATGAAATGCAGCAGGGAAGCACCCTAGCAGCTCTCACAGCTGATGCCCCTTTTGCCTTTTTCACACCAAATATCTCTTGGAAAACCGCTAGTAAAGGTCTGCTTAGACAGTCCTATTTTCTCTGGCTTTCCACCAATCCCTCTGTTTATTTGAACGTAGGTGTCGACAGGCTGGATAAAGATCTAACAATTGGGCAGATGCAAGGTAAATATTTAATATTGTTACCCCCGTGCTCCTTTGGGATGGCACCTCGAGCTGGGCTGCTTTGTGACCAGGTGCCGGCTGCACTGACACGAATGCGCACGGAAGAATTTGGGCACTTCCCAAGGGATTCCCGCCTGTCTGGGGTTGCAGGAGTGGAAAAGTTGAGAAGGAGAAGGTCTAATTAGTACTTGTGCAGGGCCGTTGCCATGGATTTTGTTCAGTCTAGCAGTAAATGTTTCCAGGAATGGGGCTGCCGCACTTATCTTGGGCAATCGGAATCATTGGGAGGATTTTTTTCTAACCTATTTTTTCCTTTTTTTTTTTAATGTTGCTGCTGCTGCTCCCCGCTAGAACATTTGGGAGCCTCCAAAACCATCTGGTCTCCTTTTATTTCTGGCAGGCCTCAAATAAGGATTAACGTCTCCATGGATGCACTTTTTTCCTCCTGGTCTCGGCTACATAAATTTCCAGAGCAGTCCGTGCTGGAAAAGAACACGGGTAGCAGGGATAGGTATCATGTTAAGGTAGATCTGATAGCAGAGTCGACCCTGAAGCATGGTCTCACCTCTGGCAAGAGGCTGTAAAACGTTTGGCTTCATTTTTCTGCCCTARAAAAGATGAATTCAGCAGCTGGTTCTTGCTTTCTGCTGGAACTGTGTGCGTTGCAGGCTTGAAATCCCTCTGCATTCCTTGCTCCTTCCTCACTGCGATGAATATAGTGAGGTCTGTTCATAAAGAACGAGAGATTCCTTTTAGAAGAGCTCAGGAATTCAGAGAGTTTTTAAGACACCAGTGTATTTAGTGTTGTTAGAATGGGTGTCCCCGGTATTCACAGGAATTGCCTGCTGAAAATATTGCTGCTAGGAATTAAGACTGCTTAAAAAGCAGCTCTGATGGCTCTCTTGATCCGCAGGGAAGTTTCAGATGCAAGTCCTGCCGCAGTGTGGCCACGCGGTCCACGAGGATGCTCCAGACAAGGTGAGCTGCCCTGCGGGGCCCGAGCGTGTGGGTCCCTCAGCTCACGTGCCCAAGAGGCCTCTCRCACAATCCCAGAATGGTTGAGGTTGGAAGGGATCCCTAGGGATCATCCAGTCCAACCCCCTGCTCCAGCAGGGACACCCAGAGCACGGGGCACCCGCTCCAGCCCGGCGCGTTGGGAAGGTCTCCAGAGCAGGAGCCTCCGCAGCCTCCCTGGGCAGCCTCAACCWGGGCTCGGGCACCCTCCCACCAAACAAGTTCTTCCCCACGGCCACATGGAGCTGCCCGGCCTCCAACCTGCACCCACTGCCCCTTGGCCTGCCCCTGGCCACCACCCACAAGAGCTTGGCCCCTTCCTGCCTCCGTCCTCCCCTCGGCTGCTTGCACACAGCGACCAGGTCCCCTCTCGGCCTCCTCTTCTCCAGCCTCAACAGGCCCAACTCAGTCTCTCCTCATACGATAGATGTTCCGGTCCCTTCATCATCTCTGTTGTGCCTCTCACCTACCCTACAGCAGAAGGTTGTATTTCAGCAACATTTTGACAGTGTCACTGGCTGTTGTCTGGACAGTTGTCCAGTTAAGTTTCCCAGGAATTTAAGGAAAAAATCCTTGACAGTAAGGGTGTCAGAGCCCTGGCACAGGCTGCCCTGGAGGCTGTGGAGTCTCCTTCTCTGGAGATCTTCCCAACCCGCTTGGATGCCACCCTGTGCCACATGCTCTCGGTGACCCTGCGTGCGCAAGGGGTTGGACTAGATGATCTCTAAAACTCCCTTCCAGCCTTAAGGATTCCATGATTCCATTCTCCAAGCAGCCTGGGTTAATTCACATTCTTTAAGCGTGCCTGGAGCTCTGGCCTGCGATGCAACGTGCCTTGTAACTGGAGACCCGTGGCYAGCCCAGGCTGCGGATTTAACTCTGAGGCTGCTGGGGACGTGACTTATCAGACAGCCTCTGCACTGACTCATCCTCCCGGCCTTCTCCCTTCCCTTTTTCCCCTCCCTCCAGTGTTAAGCTGCAGCTTCTGGCCTTGCTCTGGCTTTTGCTCAGTGGGGTGGCTCCCATTTTCCAAATGGGAAACAAATGGGGCTGGAGCAACGCGCAGCCCGGGCACGTCTTGAGAGAAGCAGAAATGAGAAACAGCCACCGTGGAGCCTGGGCCTGGAAACTGCTGCTTTTAAACCTTGTCTTACATGGGCTGCCACGAATGTAAAACTCTCTGCTTTCCATTGCCAGTGTGAAATAGGGGTTATCTCAACACAGTGAGCTCCTAAATTAATCTTTCTTATAATACAAATAAGTGGTATTATTACTGTCGCATTCTTTATAAGAACCACTTAATAATGGCTCACTTGGCTTTTTTTTACCTACTGAATTTAGGCATTATTTTAAAAACACTGTGAGAGGTGGCCAAAAGGAGTTTTGCCAGCTCCTGATTGCGTGGTGAGCCTCAGAGTAAAGGTGGGACTSTGGGACTAAAGGTGGGGCGGGTTACTACCTTATGGTGCTGTCAGATAGAGGCTCTATTTGAAGGGAACAGTTAAATTTAAAAGTTAAAAAGACAGTTTGAAGCCTATAAAAGGGCTCCTGAGCAGTGGGACTGCTGGAATTGCTGCAGCTTTTGGTAACCAAGTGCATTTCTTGCTCTCTTGACACCTCTTTAAAGTTCTCCCTGCCTTTCCCAGGTGGCTGAAGCCGTCGCCACGTTCCTGATCCGTCACAGGTTTACAGAGCCCATCGGTGGATTCCAGTGGTGAGTGGCTGCGGCGCTCGACCCGGGCGGCCCGTGGAAGGAGCCTCTTGCTTTTGCTCTGCGTTTGTGGCTCGTGGTGTGGGAAGTAGCTGGGATTTCTGCTGGAAGCTGCATACAAACAGGCAGCTGGAATCAGCGCCTGTAGCGTGTTTGGTGTTTGTGTCAGGCTGAACTTCGTTGCATGTTGTATTAATAAAATCCCAGTAAAATTGGAAGGATGGAGAGAAGCAGATCATAACTAGCTGACTTCCTTCCTTATCACAGAATCATGGAACCACAGAATGGTTAAGGTTGGAAGGGACCTCTAGAGATCATCTAGTCCAACCCTCTGCTCCTGCAGGGGCAGCTAAAGCACATGGCRCAGGGTGGCATCCAGGCAGGCTTTGAAGACCTCCAGAGAAGGAGACTCCACAACCTCCCTGGGCAGCCTGTTCCATAACCTCCCAGAAGGCAAAACTAGTGTTTTGCTGAAATAATTAAGTCCTAGAAGCAATTAGCACCCCGTTTCTTAGGGCAAAGAAGTTAGGACAAGCCGAGCGCTTCGTCTTGCACCTCTCTCCTTACATCCTGTGTTTTCTTATCAGAATGACCTACAGAAGCCAGGCCCCTGCAGTCAGCCCTACAGCAGCAGCAAGAGTAGGTGGTGAGTGCTAGAGATATAAGGCTAAAAAGGTTCCAAAATCTTCATTAGTTACTAGAAAGCATATTGCTGAGTGAGCTCTTCCTTCCCCCTCTACCTCTTTCTCTTGTGCTCTTGGGGAGGAAACAGTAGGATTGGCAGGAGGGCATATTTTAAATCCAATGGAAGGATATAGAGGAGGAAAATGTAGAAATGCAGAGAGGGAGCAGACCAAGGGACTCTACTGCATTAAAATTTCAAATCCTACTGGGTGTTTGGCGACCTGTGCGAGGGCTGCGGGGCTTTAAAAACAACTAAAACGGCTGCTCCTGCTGTTGTGGTTTTAGCAACAGCAGCTTTAGAGCAGGAGGAGGGAGTGAGATGACTTGCGAGCCTTATCGTGTGATATAAAAACCCGTGTGTGTTTCTTACAACTTAATCAGTGTTCATTTTAACCCGCGTGATAGCTCCGGTTTTGTTGCTGAGCTAGGTTTATGGCACCTTAAAGTTAGTTGGTTGCCCAGAGAGTCAGATGCAGGGAAGACTTGGATTTTCGTGTGTGACGTTTTCTCCTCTCTTTTTCTTTTTCCCCCTTTGTAGTGTGTTTCCTGCTTGTTAATACCCTGGTGTTCTGGTTAATACCCTGGTGTTCTTCAGCACTGAGCCCCGTTGTAAATAAACTGCACCAGAGGCCACTGTGATGTATCCATCTCCTTTCATCTCTCCAGTTGAGCAGCGAGGAGAAGTCGGTGTGAGGTTCATCCCTTAGAACTAGTTCTCCGGGACGTGTACGTGGTTAGGGACCTCCTGGCTTCTGCTGAAGATCATGCCAAGCTCTCCAGAAGCAGGATCCTCTCTGCTGCCGCCAGGAAAGGCCTCCTGCAATCCCCGGCATTCCCGTCTCCGTCAACTCTCAGGCTTTCTCGGACCCAACTGCAAAGGGGCTCTTGGCAGCCCGGATCCRTGGAGGGCATCGCAGCAAATCCAAAAGCTTCGGGATCTCTCCCCGGCGTTGTCTCGTTGTCTCTGAAACACCCCTTAGGTTTGTTTTTTATCTCTTTTTTTTCCCCCAAAGCAGACGAGGACCCGGCCTCAGTGGGAGCTCAGGGCTCCTCTTACCTGCAGGAGCCTCCGCGCTGCTTCCCGCTTCCAATCTGGGCAGGGCAGCAACGTGGAACAAGAAGGCGGAAACGGGGGGACCACGAGCCCCTTCTCAGCGAGTCTTGCAGCCTCCTCAATGTTTGGATCCTCAGCTGGAAACGTGGCCTCATTAGGGAGGTGCCCGGGAGCCCCGTGGCCTTTGGGCCAGTGGCTGCCCATGGAGCCGGCTTGCGCTCCGTCCCGCGGAGACCGGCACCTTTGGCATGAAAACACACCAAAATTGGGCAGCAGAGAAAGCCTTAGAAGAGCTCGGGCTCTGTCCCGGTGATGCTGGCGCCGGTAACGCGCTCCGGAGGGAAGACCTGCTTCACCCCAACGCTTCCTTGGCTTTTCCCGGGAGCTTCCAGGCGTTTCAYGGGCTGCCTTCCGGGTGGCCCGGAGGAGCAGCACCCGCACAGAGCTCCCCTTGGGGGCCCGTCATCCTGAGGCCGTTTGTGAGGTTGCTTTAGGCMTCTCCTAAAAACCACTCTCAGGCTTAAGAGCAGACGTGTCTCAGATCCATTTTCCTCCGTATGTGGATCTCAATCCCGTTTTTTTGCTTCGCATCCCGACCCTCTYGTGCTGGATGATGAAAGCAGTATTTTTTTAATGCTGTTTTGCTGGAGCCCGGGCCTGGTGGCGGGAGCTGCGGTGGGCGGCTGCAAATACATCCCGTGCCAGGAGCCCTAAATGAAGCCTTTACATTCAGGAGGTGCAGGTGGGGGAAGAAGCGGCGCCGGGAAGAGCTGGGAAAGGCCGGGATTTATCCCAACAGAGAGACACTGTTGCCTTGCGATTCCTCCCTGGACACGGCAAGCCGGGGCCTTACTCTGCCGCCCTTCCCTGGGGAAGGCARCAGGAAACCAGGCAAGAAACCGGGGCAAGAAACTCCTCAGTTGGGACCGAGAAATCCAAAATCCAGAGTGCTCCATAAATAATGGAGAAAGCTGCTCGCGGAGCCTCCACTCGTCCTTTTTCACCCATTTCAAATKGGGAAAATCCGGCAAATCCCTCCTCGCTTTCCAGCTTTCTGCCTTGGTTTTTATTTTTTCCCTTTTTTTTCCCAGCTTTTTCCTAATTTCTCCATAAAAGCAGCGTCGTGGGATGAGGACCCCTCCAACGTCGAGGGATGCTGCTTCCATAGGGGGTTCTGCTCCCGCTCGCCTCTATTCTGGCTCTTGAATTGAGCAGCGGTGGAAACTTCCAAAACGGAAAATCCCGAGGTTTCGGGGAGCCCCGGCAGCAGCAGGAGACCGGTCTGCTTAAGGGCTGACTTTTTAAATGTATTTTTCTTTATTTTTCCTTTTTTTTAAAATCAGCTCCCAGGCTTGGGGTGCCGGGGAGRGAAGCCCGCGTCGGGCAACATTGGGAAAAGCTCTTTTCCCGCTGGCGCGTRGTTACGGATGCTCCCACCTCTCCRTCTTTTCCCTCCTCTCCGCCGTCTYGCGCAGGGGCCCAGCTCTTCCCYGGTGCTTCCAGCGCTCCCCGAAACCCAGGCTTGGGATAAGTGCTGGGAAGGGCTACCCGGTGTTGCCGGCTCGGCCTGACAGTATTCCCGATTTTCCCACCGTGTCTGTCCGTCCGTCCCGCGGGAGCCTCGTCCCCCCCACTTCGCATGTTGCTCGCTGTCCCCCTGCGCCTCCCACYAATAAAGCAGTTGTGGAAAAGCCACCGGCCCCAGCTCCTTCCTCCCCCTCTTCCCTAACTCCGGCCTTCCTCTGCACAGGGGGAGGAAGAGGAGGAGGGAGGGGGAAATTCCGGCATTTCCCATCCAGGCCTCCTGGCTCCCACATGGCCCAMAAGCAGCTGTAAGTAATAAAGGTGGCCCCACCCCCGGCCTGGCCAGGGGGATGGGACCTTTGTGGCTTTGCGAAGCTCTGGAATGCACCAAGAACTCCGTTAACTCTGGAGCGGAGTGATGACCACAGACATACCGTMTTCCTCACACCCTAGAGCCAAAAAATTTGGGTTTTCGGAGGTTGGGAGAAGGAGCAATTGCTGTTGAGGGCCATCGATCAGACCATGAGAACGTTTCTCCCAGCCTCCGCTCTCCTTCTGCCTTTATTTGCAGCCAGGGTGGAGGCCGCGCGGGTCCCTCGGTGCCGCCGCTCAGTCCTCGGGCCGGGTCCCGCACGGCCTCCGAAACTCCTGCCCGTGCTCGTGGATCCACTTGTTGGCCACTGGAAGTGACGGGGGACTCTGTGAGGGCTGGGGGTGCCGGGGGCGGCCCGCGGCGCCCGGCCTCCCTCCTTACCCCACTTGTCACCGGCCAACACGGGGCAGGCGCCGTGCAGGGTGGCCCCGTCGCCCTCGCCGCTCCGGCGCAGGTTCCACCAGAAGAGCGCCGCGTTCTGCCCCCCGAAACAGAGCCTTGGCCTGGGGCGTCCCCAAGGCGGAGCCCCGCATCGGGCCGGGGGGACCCCCGCTCACCTTCACCACGGGAAYGCTGACGTTGGCGCGGATGAAGGCCGTGGAGCCGCCGGCCTCCACTGAGCTCAGCTGCATGAGGAAGGGCGGTGTGAGGCCTCTCTTGTCCCGCTGTCCTGCCGTGGGGACATGGAGGCCTGAGCCTCCCCTCCCTGGGCTCTTGCCGCATGTTCACTCTGAACCCTACTGATGACTAAACAGCCCAAAAATCTTCATGGAGACTGTGTTCACTCTGAACCCTACTGAGACCAAACAGCTGCAAAGATCCTTGTGGAGACCGCGTTCACTCTGAACCCTACTGATGATCATGCGGCTGCAAAAATCTTTGTGGGGACAGTGTTCACTCTGAACCCTACTGAGGACCACGTAGCTGCAAAAAAGCTCACAGAGACCACATTCACTCTGAACCCTACTGAGGACCGCACAGCTGCAAAGAAAAGCTTGTGGAGACAGTGTTCACTCTGAACTCTACTGAGGACCACACAGCTGCAAAAATCCTTGTGGAGACAGTGTTCACTCTGAACCCTACTGAGGACCCCGCAGCTGCAACCTCGCGGAGCCCGGAGCCGCGGGCACTCACGTAGACCATGACGGTGGCGATCCGGTTGCCCGAGTTCATCCTGTAAAGGGGGCTCTTCCTGGACTGCCCCGGAGAGAGGAGCCCGTGAGGGCCGGGCTGGCGCCACTCGGCCCACAGGCAAATCCCCCAGGGAAGAGCAGGGCACAGTAGCGACTCCAGCCTCGACGCCTTTGTTTTGGGTACAAACTGAAGATTTTTCACCAAACTGGCCCCAACTGAGCTGATTTCCACTCGCTTCCTTTCTCCAGAAAAAAATCTGGGGAATTTTAACCTGCTTTCACCTTGGCTGAAGAACCTTCTTCTCAAAAACAAGGTTTTGAACCTTCTTCTCAAGGTTTTGAGGGACACGGTGGGGTGGACTACAACCATGCTGGGCTTCCTCCTTCCCTGCCTGGCCCCATCCTCCTCTTCCCTCTCTTCTTCTTCATCTCCTCCTCCTCCTCCTCATCATCACCTCTTCTTCCTCCTCCTCTTCACCACTTCCTCCTCCTCTTCCTCTTCACCTCCTCCTCTTTACCTCCTTCTCTTTACCTCCTCCTTCCTCTTTCCTTCTTTCCCTCTTCCTTTCCCTGTTTCTTTTCTATCCATCCATCCATCCATCCATCCCAACATTTGGCCGCTCACCTGCCTTCCCTGGTCCACGCTAGGGGACAACCCAGGCACCCCCCAGGAGTCCATGCTGGGACCACCATGTGCCCACCCTGAGGCCCACCCCAAGGAGCACCCCGAGGTCCCGCCGCTTACGGTGGCGTGGTCAAAGTGGGGCTCGTAGTGGCCACCCAGCCCGTAGTTGACGACCTGCAGGTACTCGGCGTAGGGCGCCCGCACGTCCAGGCCGGTGACGGCCGCGATGCGCCGCTCGAGCGCCGCCACCGCCGGGTCGGCCGTGTCCTTCAGCCAGGCACTGCAGGAGCCACCACCATCAGCGCCACCACCATGGGGACGTCCCCAGGAGCCCCCACGGGGCCACCTACCTCTTGCTGATCCGGTACTCGACTGCCTGCTGCTGCTCTCCGGAGGCCACCACGGAGCGCTGTAGCTGCGGGGACATGGCCACGCTCAGTGGGACCCCATGGTGGGCGAGCAAAGCTTGGAGATGGAGCAGGGAGGCCRGGTTTGCTCCAGCTGGGAAAGCAGCGCGTGGGGGCTTGGAGGGATGTGTGGTGGTGGTGGAGGTAGAGGAAGTGGTAGAGGTAGAGGTGGTGGTTGTGGTGGTGATAGAGGTGGAGGTGGTGATGGTRGAGGTGGTGGTAGAGGTGGAGATGATGGTAGAGTTGKTGKTGGTGGTGGTAGAGGTGGAGATGGGAGTAGAAGTGGTGGTGGAAGTGGTGGTGGTGGTAGAGGTGAAGGTAGTGGTAGAGGTGGTGGTGATGGGGTAGAGGTGGTGGTGGTAGAGGTGAAGGTAGTGGTAGAGGTGGTG